GCAAGCTAACAGGCTGCCAGCTAGCGTCCGGCCGTCATCTTCCCGGCCTGCTAGCCCTCAAAGGACTTGTTCTCGGCCAGCTAGTTGCAGGTTGGGAAGCATCCTTCTGTCCTGCCTGGCTAATGCTACTAGCCCTCCGCCGGTCCTGCCAGTAACCTGCTCGGCTAGCGCTGCTAGTCCTCCGCGTGTTTGGCCTGGATCCTGCTCGGCTGGCGCCGCTAGCCCTCCGCCTGCCCTGCCTGTTATCTGTTCAGCTGGCGCTGCTAGCCCTCCGCCTGTCCTGCCTGTTACCTGTTTGGCTGGCGCCGCTAGTCCTCCGCCTGTCCTGCCTGTTATCTCTTCGGCTGGCGCTGCTAGCCCTCCGCCTGTCCTGCCTGTTACCTGTTCGGCTGGCGCTGCTAGCCCTCCGCCTGTCCTGCCTGTTATCTGTTCGGCTGGCGCTGCTAGCCCTCCGCCTAGCCTGTCCGTCCGCCTGCCTGCCCTACCTATCAAGGACTCAGGGACTATGACTCTCCTGGCCTACCTGACCATGAAGGCCAGGGAGTCAGAGGCAGCACGGGCAGCTAGCCTATGGCCTGATAGCCCGGAGTCCTCCTTCGAGGGAAGTCGCCTGGCCATCTTTTCGGGTTCCCGTGGTGGTCATCGGAGGCGACCAGGTCACCAGCAGCGACCCGTCTGCAACCAGCGTGATCCCCGGCCTGCTAGCGCTGCTAGCAGCCTGCCTGCCCACCTGCCTGATCCCCGGCCTGCTAGCGCTGCTAGCCGCCTGCCTGATCCCTGGCCTACTCCTGCTCCCAGGTCTCACTCGGCTGTCCTACCGACACCTGTTACTGGTCCCTCATCGAAGGTCCGACTGACACCAGTTCCAAGGTCTCCGTCGGTGGCCAGACCGGTTCCTGCTCACCGTGCCCCGTCGGTGGACCGACCGGCACCAGCTCCGCCGGTGGTCCGATCGACTCCTATTCCCTCGTCGGTGGTCCGACCAACACCAGCTCCGTTGGTGGCCCAGCCGATTCCTGTTCCTAGTGCTCAGTTGGTGGACCGACCGGCACCAGCTCCGCCGGTGGCCCAGCCGGCTCCTGTTCCCTCGTCGGTGGTCCGACCAACACCAGCTCTGTTGGTGGCCCAGCCGACTCCTGTTCCCTCGTCGGTGGTCCGACCAACACCAGCTCCGTTGGTGGCCCAGCCGACTCCTGTTCTCCCGTCGGTGGTCCGACCAACACCAGCTTCGTTGGTGGCCCAGCCGACTCCTTTTCCTCATGCTCCGTCGGTGGTCCGACCAACACCAGCTTCGTTGGTGGCCCAGCCGACTCCTGTTCCTCATGCTCCGTCGGTGGTCCGACCGGCACCTGCTTCGCCGGTGGCCCAGCTGACTCCTGGTCCCTCGTCGGTGGACCGAACGACTCCAGCTCCTCGTGTCCGGTCCATGGTCCCCAGCCCTGCTGTCCAGTCGGTGGTCAGGCCGACTCCAGCTCCTCGTGTCCGGTCCATGGTTCCCAGCCCAGCTGTCCAGTCGGTGGTCAGACCGACTCCAGCTCCTCGTGTCCGGTCCATGGTCCCCAGCCCAGCTGTCCAGTCGGTGGTCAGACCGACTCCAGCTCCTCGTGTCCGGTCCATGGTCCTCAGCCCAGCTGTCTCGCCGGTGGTCCTCAGCCCAGCTGTGCCTCCAGAGCACCCAAGCTTTGGGTGCCGACCTCCGAAGAGGTCTTGCCGTCGGCCTCCTGCTCGGCCCCCAGTGGGTTTGCTGCCTCACTGTTGGCCGTCCTGCCAACCTCCCGAACTCTGTGGCCCCCCTGTTCTGCCCGGGACGCTCTCCTGGTCTACTCGGTCGACCTCCGGGTTGGCCTCCTGAACTGTGTTTTCCCCCTGATTTGCTCGGCCTGTCGGGTCATCCTCCGGGACGGCCTCCTGAACTGTGTTTTCCCCCTGATTTGCTCGGCCTGTCGGGTCGTCCCCCGGGACGACCTCCTGAACTCCGTGATCCCTTTGGTCTGCACGGCCTCCTGGGTCGCCCTCCGGGACGGCCTCCTGAACTGTTCTGCCCCTCTGCCCTGCCCTGCATGTTAGGCCAAGTGCCTTACCTGCCCTGTTTCCTGGGCATGATCTGCCTGTTGGGTGGTTCCCCCCCGGACTGTTTTGTCCCCTTGGCCTGCTAGTGCGACCTCCCGAACTCTGTCGCCCCCTTGCCTTGCCCTCTGGCCACCCTCCTGAGAGTTCCTGGTCTGGCCCTCCTCCTGTCCTCCCTCCGCCCACCCTCCTGAGAGTTCCTGGTCTGGCCCTCCTCCTGTCCTCCCTCCGCCCACCCTGGCTCGACTTGCCCTCCTCCTGTCCTCCCTCCGCCCACCCTGGGCCGGCTTGTGCCTTGTTTTTGTGCTGTTTTGGGTTTTGTTGACCGTCTGGAGACGCTCGTCGGTGGGGGGGTACTGTCACGCTCTGCCGGTTGGCCATCCTTTGTGTTGTACTTTTGAGTTTAGTATCTGCCTCAGTATGTTGAGTTTTGTGTTCTGTCCTGTCTAGTGTCCAGTATCTGTTATATAGTCTGCTTGTCATCTCTCTCTCTCTCTCTCTCTCTCTCTCTCTCTCTCTCTCTATCTATATATATATCTATATCTATATCTATATCTAGATATAGATATAGATATAGATATAGATATAGATATAGATATCTATATAGATATAGATATAGATATCTATATAGATATAGATATAGATATCTATATAGATATAGATATAGATATCTATATAGATATAGATATAGATATATATATCTATCTATATATATATAGTCCCTGTGTATATATACCTGGTGTTTCTGTCTTGTCCTTGTCCGGTCATTGTTCATGTTACCCCCCAGTCTGTCGTGTGTGTACTCTCTGCCTGTAACCAGCCTTGCTTGTCTCGTCTCCTCTCCCGGTACTTTTGGATTTCTGTTATTCAGCCACTCACCTGTAAGTGTGCTCGCTTTTGTTTGTTTATTAAAACCCTTCGTTGTACCATACCTGCCCCGCTCTGTGTCCTGCGTTTGGGTTCTCCAACCTGCCTCCACACCACGATCGTGACATACAGTGTTTATAATGATACGCAAATGAAGAACTAAACTAGGTGGAAGTACTGGCCTAACTGAATATTTATGATATTTCATTTGCAACTGCATTTCTTTTCTTTTAGAGCTTCCTGGGATCATTGCCTCACTCAGATTGCTTAAGGCGCTTTCAGACCAAAAGGGAAGTGAGCATTCGGGCAGTGAGTTTCCCTACACAGTCAATAGAAAGACACGTAGAGCCGAAATATTCTGTCAGGCGGCGTGAAGTGACGCGATAGGGGCAGGGGAGTTGAATATTTTAAACTCAAGCAAAGTAGTTGCATGACGCGGAGTCGAGATAGCCTATCAGTGTTGAGATTGTCCGTACCTCACTGAGGCTTCAGAGCATTGTGTGGAGAGGGCCAGGCAGAGCGGGGGATCTAAAATCTGCTGGCCGGCTGAGAGCTGCTAAACTTGGGGAAGAGGAGCATGCAGCAGCGCTGCAAACATTGGACAATTAAACACCCGTAGTCGGTGGGATTCTGCTCTGACAACTACAACGATTACTCGCGGGAGGAGCTTGGAGTTAACTGCTTTTATTAAATTAGCTTTTTACTTTAGTTTTTGGGATTTCAACGTTGATTTTTCTTCTCTGCATCATGTAGTTATTTCGGCATCAGTTTGATCCGTTTATTGCTATTTAATCACAGCAAAATGTTTACTTTGGGTTCATACAGTTGTAGTAATGACGAGTTGTGTTTATTCACGTTATCGCGTTAAAATCGCCTTCTCTCTTTGTGTGTGAACACTTGCAGTAAATGTACTCACACGAGGAAAGCACCGCAAGGCGAAAATTCGCGGTTGGTCTGAATGCACAATTAGAGGTCACAAAAACCTCAAAGGACCAGCTGGACCCTCACAAGCTCACTGTGCTCATAGGTATGTCTGGCTCCTGCACACCACTGTTCTTGCTCTCACTACAAAATAACACATTTAATATACGCTTAGTACAGTGAATCCAAAAGTATATTTCTTTTTCACCACGAGAGACTTGACTTGGACTCTTGCTCAGAATTGTGAGCATCTCTGGCAGCAAGTGAAGAGGCCATCCGTTGTCAACCACTTATCCTGCGTACAGGGTCGCGGGGCCCAGCTGACATCGGGCGCAAGGCGGGGTACACCCTGGACAGGTCGCCAGTCCATCGCAGGGTCACACATAGACAAACAACCAATTTAAGGTTGGCCTGCATGTCTTTGGATGGTGGGAGGAAGCCGGAGCACCCATGCAGATTCAAACCGTGGGTTCGACGTTCTTGCTGTGAGGTAACAGTGCTAACCACCGCACCACCGTGCTGCCCGTAAAGGCAATCATTAGTGAGACAATACATTCATTCTTGTAATCAATATGAGTCAGTATTAAAGATCAGTTCTGAAGGGGGTGGGAAACGCTAGTATAGCCTACTGGTTAGTTTGGATATATTCTGAATCCTAATTGATAATTTGAAAATACAAACCAACATATTTTCATACTTTGTGTTTGAAGTTCCCAAAGCTGACACTAGATGTCAGCCAGACGTTAGATTTTATCTTTGCTGCTAAACATACACAAATAAATACACAATAAAATACACAAATTTCTTCCATATTCATGCATGAAAAAAAGAATTGAACAGTCTAAAGATCATCACATAAACTCAGATGTGAGGATGATGTTAAAACTTTAAATGGTCCAATGTCACATTTGTTGAGGAAAGTGAGGAGGCATCATTTACAGCATTTTTCTCAGAGCTCTCTGCATATGGCACCAAATCATACTGTAGCCTATTGTTTCTTTCACCTAAAACGGGGGATGTCGGATAGGCATCAAATATGCCATGCAAATCACTGTCAGATCCCTTTAATTGATGGTTTAGGACAATTCTCATATCGCATGGCCCATATAGCTTCACTCAGAAGTCCCTGCCGCCGTATTGGTTCTTCTTGATGTGGATATCATCATGTGAATTGTTGAAAGTGGATTTATCAAACGCCCGGGGGGTTAGACTAAAATTGTATGAAATTATTTTGAAAACTTGTAGGACACTTACAGTTGAGTGAAAACATTAATGCTGCAAAAGAGAATATTACCTCATAATATCTCAGAAATAAATAAAGTGTTAGTTTTCGGTTTCGCTGGGCCCCCTCCCTCCCACTTTCAGCACTTCTCCTTTCACCAGAGGCGCACTGCGCTTTTACGCACGACTCCAGTGACACTGGCAGAGAGCAGAGTGCCATGAAGACCGTCACTGTGTGAACGTTTTGCTGCCACCGCTGCAAGAAGATGATCCTGCTGTCTGGTCTGTTGCTCATTCTCTGGGGAGAACCGGGTCGGTGCCTGGAAGAGGGAGGAAGCTTTACATTTCATGGAGATTTCCGCCACTTCGCCGTGGCCACCAACACGGTTTACATCGCTACAGATGAGAGGCTGTACCAGCTGAGCCGTGACCTGACTCTGATCCAGAGTCTGACCCTGAGAGGAATCTTGAAGGTGGGCCCTGAGCCCGGCGATGAGCAGTTATACCGGATTTCTGAGACGGATGAATGGAACGCAACTTTCAGTGTCAATGTGGTGTTGCCGTTCGTTAAGAATAAAACTCTGATCAGCTGCGGTGTGATCAGGTGCGGCTACTGCGAGGTGCTGGACCTGCAAAACATTTCCCACGTGTTGCATAGCGAGGCCATCCAGGTGGGACCCGCAGGGCGCAGCAATGCGTCCGTTGGCTTCCTAGTGGACGTGGAGAAGACTCAGACCCAGCTCGAAACTTACATTCTGACTGCCTTACAGCAACCCGACAAAACCACAGAGACCAGCTGCCTCTCTGGATCAGCCGTTCTGAACCTTCATAATACGAATAAAAACCAGAATGGAGATATATTTTCCCATGGTGGCGAGACTTCTCAAGCTCAGATCAAACGTGAAGGCGAGGTGGAGTTTGTTGATGGATTTCAGATCAACTTAACCATTTATCTTTTCTCCAACGTGCCATCAAAGGACAAAAGCAAAAGAGTCCGTCTTATTTGGCTTGAGGGAAAAACAGGCAAAACCCATACTTTTAAGTCGCTGCGGGGCGCGACTCTCAGTATCTCTGATGGTGGTAAAGGCAGCAGACTCGTGGCCTCCTCGGTGATCCCGGGTGGGCCGCCGGTGCTCTGGAGCGGCGTGTTCAGTGTGGACGGAGGACAAACCGACACCGAGCTGGTAGTGTTTGACGTCAGCCCTGATCTCACCGGAGCGGCCGATGCGGATCCAGACTTCTGCATCACCTGTCCTGAGAAGTCAACATCTACGGTGGGTTGTTGTAATAGCCTAAACAAACGGGGTTTGAGTGTTAAGATATTGTTGTTTCCACCTGTTGCAGTAGTCTCTCATCTGCAAATAAGAATCTACAGTAAGGCAGATCACTTTATTATTAGGCTATGTGGTCATCAAAGATAAAAAACTAAACACATATCAGATGGGCTTATTTCACTGCAAAGACAAAATTGTTCTATATGAGAATAATGTTAGGATTGGACAGAAACTTAAAATAGCATATATTCTGCATAGGCCAGCTGTAAGACAACTGACACCGTGTATATGGCTAACTTAGACATTATACTAGGCCTATACTAACAATCTGTATTTTTCATATTACAGGATTAGTGCTGTTAGAGTGATCTCAATAAGCAAAGGTCTAACAAACTAGAAAAATATTCCAAGGAAACTATTTCAAACTAAATACAGTAGCCTATTAAATCACATGATTAAAGCCTTCCTGCAGGGAGGTGATGCATAGCTACACAATTTCAACCATTTTCACAATGTAAATTAAACAAAAATAAGGAGTAAACAATATTTCAAAAAGACATCTTGTCAGCAAACCAGTAACAGCTTATTAGAGGAAGGAGCTAGGTTTAGCTTGGCTTATTACAAAATCAAGGCATGTTATGAGGCTAAAGTTAACAGCTGCAGAGGACAAAATCATTAAAATGTCAGTTTCTGTTATATCGCTTACATAGATGTGAATTTATGTGAGCATTTTAGTTATCTTTACTGTGTGTATACTGATACTGTTACCTGTGAGAAAGAACAGTATATAGTTGTTGGCATCTAATTTGGAATACAAATTTAACAAATACTGTTGTTATCATTATTGTTATTTGTTAAGTAGCATTGATTTCATTTTCTTGAAAGGTGAGAGAGAGAAATCCAACATCAAGTTATTACTATAATTAAGCAATATTTATGGCAGACAAACTATCTGGATGTACAGTCATGTGACAGATGACATGTAAACAGAAATAATATTGAGTGAGATGCGTGGCAACATAAATTATGATTTTGTTGTGTCAACACTTCCCAGATGTATGTAAATCAATGGCACAATGAAATGAAGAACAAGAACACTTTTTTCAGTATCTTTTAACATGTGGCCTAGTAATGATAGGTCTATTCCAAGTACCCTCAATACTTCAAAGCTGTACTCTTCAAGATTCAACAAATACCTTTTGGATCGAAATCTGATGATCAGCGTTTTTGTCTCTCTCAGCCAAAGACTCTGAAGCCAAAGGCGGTGCTCTTCAGACAGAACTACATGACCTCTGTGCTGGCTGTGAGACAGAAGGCCTGGGTGGTTTTCTTCATTGGGACAGGAGATGGGCAGCTCATTAAGGTGTGTATAAAAAGTGATATGCATCTGTTGGGAACATTTTTTTAAAACTTAGGATCTGTACTTCAACAACGCAGGTATCACATCATCCTCTCTCTTCTTTCCATCTCCCTGATCGAACAACTATAATCTGCAGACACTCCTTATACTTTCCATACACACAAGTCTGGGAACACTCCACAGTAACCCTCTGCTGGACACAACAGGCTCTTTCATGCTGTGTGTGCTTTCACAAGTGTTCATAAAGCTGCCAAGTGTCTTTCTTAAAGATTCTGATATATTGGCTCACTGGCTCATGTCAAGTAGCACAAGGGAAGACAGCTGATAGTACATAAATAAAATGTTACAAAAGGGGCTTCACTTGGGAGATGAAAGTGAGATGCTGTAGCTGTGGACAAGGGGTAACCTATAATTAATTGGGATGCACATAGAAACCTATGCAAGCAATTTGGTTGTGAGCATTTAACTGGGTGTGTTCGAGTATTAAATTTACCAAATTCAGTTTGTTTAGGATTATTTGTTTACATTAAGTTACTTCATTTCCATTCACTTAAATTAGTATAATCCTTCTATGGGAAACAAGAATTATAGCTTACATTAATAATCATCATCACACTCAGTTTATTAGTCTAACACCTGTCAGTTCTTACCATGAAATCAAATTTGGTGTGAAACATAATGCAGTAGGAGAGTAGATTCACTTCCAGTACAGTATGGGTGTGTACAGGGTGGAGTGGAGATGGTCTAACCAAACTTTTTGGCAGGAAGGGTAGGGTTCAGGAGGGCAGGCACTGAGTCAAGATGCAAGTCAAACACACAGATGACTGGTGTCAAGCTCAAGCAGGCAGACACAGCTGCAGTTTTAGAGCATCAGGGCACAGTGACAAAAAGCTGCCCTCAATACACACTGACACTGATTGAGGAAATTGGGTCCAGCTGTGCAGACAGGTGAGAGGTCAGGTGATCTTCAGAGGAGAGAAACTCACTAAATGGGAAAGTGAAGCATGAAGGAACCTGAAAAACTCCAGGATATATACTGGTGAGTCTGAAGAGGGACAAACTATAGGGATCACCATGAGATTACGGTTTCCACTTACCCTGAGCAGCACAAGATACAGTTGCATCACATCCTGCATATTGGTTAAATAGTACATTGAGGCAACACAGTGGAAGGGACATGATGTCGACATAGTGACAGAAATACCAGCATGGACCTTAACACTCTTCTGTGCTGGTGTGAGTTCTTTGTGGTGTCAAGACAACACAGCATCTCCATTAGGATTGAACAGCTTCAGTGGATCAATTTTTTCTTCAACCTTAATGGTGGTGCTCATTAGCTATTAGCTTGACCTAAGAGATGCCTGAACCACAGACATGGACACCAGGAAACAAACTCTTCCTCTACAGAATCACTTCAGACATTGATTGCAGCAGTAAATTTGCCCATTATGTTGTCTGTACAGCTTTAATATACTGGGCAATAACTTTTATTACATTCTATTTTAAGGAGTTTTTGACAGCAATAATGCTCTTAAAGAAAAAGAAAAAGAAAAAAGTTATTTTATAGTCATGCTAAATTTTTAATTGGTTAGAGTGAGACATGTTTTGGAACCAAACGCCAGACACAGAGGCACAGACTTGGTTTGTCAAGTTTTAATCAACAAAAACAGGATTCTCTGACTTGTATGCAGCAAAGTCCAAAACAAGGCTCAACTCTATGAGCAAAAGATGAAGCCAAACAGAACAGATAACCAATGTAAGGTTACAAAAAAACTGAAAAAGCAACTATAAACAGGCAAAGACTGAACAGAACTGACAACCATTTATACAAGATCAGATGAGTGGGCAAGGAGAGCAACCAGGTGCGACAAACTCTCACACAGACACTCGGGCAGGGAGGGTTATTCACAGGTGATACACATCAGGGGAATCAGACAGACAGGACACAGGGCTGAAACAAACACCACACAAGTTCAAAACCAGATGGAACAGTACAAGCATGCAGGTACAAAATCAAACCCACACAAGAAAACACTAGAGCTCAAAAACCATGAGAAAAGTCCACAACCTCAACATAAATAATACTGAGTGAAGCTCACTGTTAGAGAAAGACAAGAACAATTAAGCCAGCATTATGAAGCCTAGAATCTATTCATAAAAATTACCTAGGTTACCTGGTTAGCCAAGCTGTCCTTCCAAGTTCAAACACCATAACTCAGGAACAGAAGGGGAGATTGTGAGCACATCTCACAGTTGGTGAGTACTGAATAGGTGACAGTTCGACTTAAATTGACCTAAAAAAAATATTGTTAACAAAAACATCTTCACTTTTTCAGCTAATACATTTATGAAAATCCTTAATCAGTTCAACAATGTATATTCACTGGAATCCTACATATGTATCATCAATATAGTGATAACATCCATTTAGCCAAAAAATACACTACCTTATTATTCAAATCAAGTATTCACTACAAATATTATTACTATGGAAAGACATGGATGTAAACTGTTTGGCAGAAGCATACAACTGCTTGGCTGTAATTATGGTTTTATCCACCTATTAAACTTCAACCCTTGATATCTACCAGCAGAGCAGCTCAGTCTCTGAAACATAACAAAGCTACATTGTTGTTGTCAGCTCGCTGTGGACAAGAACTATCACACCACCTGTCCCAGGGTGCTCTACAGGGCCAGTGACGACCGCCAAGTGTTCCCCAAAATACTTCTGGATCAAGTGGACCATAAACATGTCTATGTGCCATTTCAAAACCTGGTAGGTGAACTGTACATGTATAAACAGTCTTGTGAACGCTGGAGGATTTTGAATTTACAGTGTCGTGATTTAAGCCATGCTTTCAAAGTGTTGTTGAATGTTTGTGTTCTGTTCTAGATTAAACGTGTGCCTGTGTCAAAGTGCAGCACATACACAAATGTGCAGGACTGCTGGTCTGCACAGGATCCATACTGTGTCTGGTGTGGCTCTAAAAGAAGGTCAGGGAAACACCATCTGCTGCTGACATCTTCAAACTATTATAAACTTGGTTAAAACATCATTTTCTCTTCCTAGTTGCACATTTGAAGATGAGTGCCGAAATTTAGACTGGTTGTCCATTCCTGATGACTCCCGTCAACGCAAAATGGTTTCCTACAGCGTTGTAAAGGACAGCACTGGCCAGGTACAGGTTACGTCCAGGATTTGAACTATAATCAGTTGTGTCTGTCAGTTATTTCTCTTTTAAACTCACATCCCTTCCTTTCTCAGATCACACTTAGCATCCAGACACACCTGACTGTGAGCCAGAGCGCTCTGTCTAACTTCGCCTGTCAGTTCTCTGCAAGCTCCAGCCAGCTTTGTAGTGCAGCAAACAGTCCTCCACGGTTCCCACAATGCACCTGCGTCCTTACAAATAGCACACTTCCTGCTGAAGGTCAGTGACTTTTGATAAATCCGGTGAATGAAATACCTGATAATCAAGGACCTTCACACCGTCACAAGAATCCCATCAGATAAAAATGTTCTCGACCTGCTGATAAATCTGTGTCGCCTCATGTTATATATTGTTAAATGAATTAAAAATATGAGAGAATATGAAATATTTGTTTGAACTTATGACCACTGCTGTAACATTCTCTGTATTATTTCCACTTAACAGGCCTGCGTGTCACCGTTAAGATTAGACTTGGGACGACACAATTGTTGGAACGATTTAAGATATCCAACTGCTCTGACATCAGGGGACCAACGACTCCTGTCCTGTAAGTCCACTGCCATTTTCAAGAAATCTAAGTAGACAGATTATTTCTAAAATAAATAATAGAAGCTGAAAATTTGACTATTCATCAGTCAAATGTATCACTGGTGAAATGATGCAGTCAAAATAGGTTCCAGTGTGGGTGCAATGTAATACTTTGAACTTTAAGTACCTGCTGCACACATAAATATCATAAAAAATTCAAATCTATGTCCTGTTCCCGAGCCGTTTTAATAGTTAACATGGGAGAACAGCTTATGTTTTAGATGAACACAGAACGTCTCGGGTTACGTGTGTAACCCTTGTTCCCCGAGAAAGGGAACGAGACACTGCATCGGTGACGACACTATGGGAACGCCTCTGGGCGTGGCAGGGCTGAACTATGAATGAAACTACTCCAATTCAATTTGGTGTTACTAGAACGGTAGTGTGTGACGGCGTAACTGGAGGGGTATATAAGCACGCTGGCACATAGGACACATTAGTCCTTTCTATGAAGCAAGGCACTCCAGGCGGGGTGAGGTGTGGCGGACCGACGCAGTGTCTCGTTCCCCTTCTTGCCCCCCCCCCCCCCCCCCGGGGCAAACTCCAGGCATCGGGGAGACACCAAAAGTGCCAGGAGATCCCGCCCTCCTCAGAGAGGTGATAGCGAGGAGAAAGGTCATCTTAAGGGTCAGGTGCTTGGCCTCAGCCAACTCCAGGGGTTCAAAGGGGGCCTCAGCCAGCGCTTCGAGAACCACTGCCAGGTCCCAGGTGGGAACCCTGGAACGAGTCACGGGTCTCATCCTCCGGGGTCCACGGAGGAAGCGCACCACCAGTGGAAGCACTCAGAGGGGCGTGGAATGCTGCAATGGCAGCCACATACACTTTGAGCGTGGACGGGGAGAGGCCGGCGGAGAAACAGTGCTGGAGGAACTCCAGTATCAGATTTACCAAGCAGGTAACTGGGTCCACCGCCCGTTCTCTGCACCAGGTGGTGAACACATTCCACTTTAGGCCGTACATCCTTCTCGTGAACGGGGCTCTGGAGCTGAGCAGCATCTCGACTGCTCCTGTCGTCAGGCCCGCCTCTAGGAACTGCGACCCCTCAGGGGCCAGACCCATAGTTGCCACAGGGCGGGGTGTGGGTGAAAGATCCGGCCCTCCGCTGAATCGCTTCGACATGATCTGCTGCTTCGTCTCGACTTCAGGTAGGATGATGGAGCTTCCAAACATAGCCAGAGTGCCTGCTGAATAGAAAGAAGCTAATATTTCCTGTGTGCCGGCGTGCTTATATACCCCCTCCGGTTACGCCGTCACACACTACCGTTCTAGTAACACCAATAGGATTGGAGTAGTTTCATTCATAGTTCAGCCCTGCCACGCCCAGAGGCGTTCCCATAGTGTCGTCACCGACGCAGTTCGAGTTCCCTCCAAGGGGAACTGACATTGATCCTTTCAGGGTAGGATTTAAAGACAGAAATGTTTATATAGGGTTGTGAGAGGGTTTCCTCAGGAACTGGAGCATAAAGCATTGAACAACATTGGTCCTGTGTATACCAATTATATCTGTCAGTTCAGAGAAAGATGCAAAACAATTGATAAAAAAGGTTTTCAAAACATTACAAGCATTTATTTTACCAAAACTTGAATGAACTGTCAAGACTGGATGGAACAAAGAAGCAACTGGACTACCAAGTGAGGGAGCCTGAAATCCACAGTTTTGTCCAAATTTGCCGTGAATGATGAATAACTGGGTAAGCTTTTGGTCTAATTTAGGCAAGGACAAGTGCTGCGCTCAAAATGGCATGTAATGAGACTTGTAAAAACTTAGCAAAGGCCACAATGGGAATGAAACAAGTGGCTCTGAAAACAAAAAGAAAAAAATGAAACTGCATAAACTAAAGTCAATAAAGACTGAGGTATAAAGACAAAAAGGCTAAAAATAATTTCACCCCTCCTCCCATATTCCTCCACTTAGTCTCATACATTCATCATGGTTGTAATGGTCGTGTTTCTTCATCAGGAAGAATATACAGTATAACTATCTTGTGTTGTATCAAGGCATTATGATTCATGTACGAATGTTTTCAACAACAGGTGATAACATTTGTTTTCTCTTCAGGTGTCGGCAGTGTATCGAGGCTGGATGTGGCTGGAGCACAAACGGCTGCTCCTGGGCAAATCAAGGAGTGGTGGATGTAATTATGTCTTTTTAAATGTATTATCTAATATAGGCTTTTCCAGACATCATGCATGTATGCTAACTTTCCGTGTGCTACATTTGAACATCAGTGTAACAGCACAACATTTATTTTGAAACTGATAATGAAACCAGAACAGCTGCTCAGAATTTCAAATATGAGATATAAATAACAATAGTTATTTCACTGTCAGCTCAGCACCTGTCAGCAACAAATGTTAAAATGTGTAATACATGTTAGCTACTGGAAACAATTAGGAAATTAGTTGATTCTACAATTTTTACCATAGCCTCTTAATTTATTCCTTTCTCAGTATTAAACATTTATTGCTTTAGTCAAGCAAAGAGTCATTTTATCTGTTTGGTTTCATTATAAAAAATGTTCTTATGCTTGGAACTTTATCAACACTAATAGTACCTTTTTTAAATTGAATGTTACTTCCCCTCATTTCTGCCTGCAGGAAAGTGTCTGCCGAATGATGGAGTCAGGGATGAACTTTTCTGTGAGTCTGAACCTCAATTCTCACATTACACACATATAGCCAAAATAGTATGATCCTACTTTCATAATGCCACTGCAAAGATTTGGCTGTGACGTTGACAGTCGAATCAGGCTCCACCCATCAAAGCATCGAATCTTCAACTACCCTATTCGGGGTCAGCCCAGTAGAAGGTAATACATTTAAACCAATTATCTCTGTTTGTGTTTTACTGTCAGAGACCGGAGATCTCCTCCATCACTCCCAGTGTCGTGTCATTCTACGGCAGAAACCATGCGCTGTTGTCCGGTCGTAACCTCGGTGGTGTGACCAGAGTGAGGATCCAGGCAGACCTGGACTGCACGGCACGAGAGTGAGTCAGTTTTTTAATTTTATATATAAATGATATTTTATAGATAGTAATTATTGAAGAAAAATGTTCCTGATTACAAACTGCCATATTCTGCCATTTGACAGTATTAATGAAATCTCTGCCCTCTGCATGTTGTTGCCTGTCCTTTGTCACTAATCTGGAAGCATCTGTTCTTTCAAAAACCCAGGTCATTTAAAGACACTGAAAAACTTTTCACACATGCAAATCTATATAAAAAACTTAAGTTTATGTTATCACCTGTTGTTGTTCAGTAAAAACCATACTCCTTTTGCTCATCAGCATTGTTGCTCAGACAGACCTTTTTGTATCTGGACATCAACTTGAAACTAAAGCTGGATGCGCTTCTGCTTTAGGGATTGAGGAATTTATGCTAATTCAGAATCTCTTCCATAATGTTTGAATGATTTGACTTCATAGGCTTACTTTAAGAGTCTTTTAGAATTTTTAGGTTTTTAGGTACAAACAAAGGCACCCTCCATTTGATCTTGTTTTAGTGTTGTGATATTTTGATCATTCGGACGTGTTAAGCTTACGAAACACCCTCTTGGTGAGTTTAAACTGATGTATATTTGTGTTTAGGCAGATTTTGCTACTGTGCTTCTGGTTGCCTCCAGGATGTCTGCATGTTATTGTTGATGCATGTTATTGTTGATGTCATTAATGTACTCCCCACGTAAAAACAAAGTGTGTCTTGATCTCAGTGAGACTGACTGGTTTCTCTCTGTCTGTCATCCTGTGCGCTCTGGTCAGATCTCCTGTATGGAACAACACTGGTGTAAATCTGACGTTCCACATTCCCAGTGCCGAAAATAAAGGCGTGGTCAAAGTATGTGTTCTCCTCTCAGATGGAAGTTGCCACGGCAACACTACAATCGCCTACCGTTCCGCACCTTCCTGCACAGCCATTACACCCAGCAGCACCTGGGTCAGGTAAGACTGACAACACAAACGTGGACAGGCTTGGGAGACGAAAGACAGGATAAGGCATGAGTGGGTCAACTTGTTTCTAATAGTGATTTGATGAAATTGAAGACGTGAAATCTAATCTTGGACAGATACAGTTTTTCCAGCAGCTGCTAAGAAAATGCTTCATCTAACAAAAAGTTATATCAAAATCAAAGTGCAGGCTTAAGGCTTAATTTGTTGATCGTCACACAGAAAGAAGATATGAGGAAGAAAGCTTTCTGTTAATTTTCTTTTTATCATGGTGACTTCCTTTCTCACATTATTTTAAATGTAAAAAGATAAGCAGCTAAAGTGCTGAGCTCCATTGGAGCAGGAACAAGAAAAGCCCCTTTCAGCAGGTCATTCAGACAATGAGTTCAAAGTGACATATCTAGCATGCTGCCATCAATAAATCATAACTTAATCATTATTGAGACACTAGAATATCATTATGAACAAACAAGACCATCACTGGGATCAGCTTCTGTAGCCCCTGTCAATGGAGAGGCATCAAGAGGCAACACAAGGTTAATAGGAAATGTGGTCTAAACATTATGATTATTGTAAAGATATTGTAACTGAATTGCCATTTTAATTGAATGCGCTGGCATTGCTAATGCTCTAGACAGCACCTGCTAAACTCAAAGGGCTATCAAAAAGGGCAGAGGAAAATTAAGTAGCTAAGCTATTTTTGAATCAGCCTCCAGTGCTTTGTCACTAACTTCAATAGAAACTTATTTTAGGAAACAGTGTTAGTTACTGAGGAACAGTTATAGGTTGAGGGTCATCTTATGGGGAAAGACAGCTACTTCCCAAAAGCTGGGTCTTTCACCATAAGACTACTTCCCCTTTCCGTTCCAGCAACTGAAAGTGGCACTTCTGCCTTTATTTTTAACCTTAACATGCAGCAGTGTTGAAAGACAAAATAGTCAATATAATTTAGAGTTTTATAACAATTTATGTACATATGGCCAGAACATACCAGCCAGAATTATATAAGTCACAATAAACAGAGCTTTTTCCTCAGTGTTACCATTTTAGCACACTGCCCTTGCACGCAGCCATTCCTCAAAGCACATTACAGTTACCTCTAATTAACTGCATGGTGATTTGCCACTCATATCCACCTGTAAGCATGCACAGCTTTCCAGGGTGCTCCCTTCATTGTGCTCATGGTTGTGACTTTCTTTAAACTAGGGTGTTAGTTAGCAGTATGTCTTGTCTTGTCAGTTTGTCCTGCTAGCTGCAGGGCCTCAGAAATGCGTTTTTCGGACACTATATCTCAACAAATTAATTAATCGTCAGAGGGTGATTCCTAACCATTGCAATTACTTATATTCTCATATGTAGAGAACCCTTACATAAAATCCACAAGTGGTAGCCACAGGTGTATTTTACCATCATATTAGGCATTACCATTCTTTCCTCTTCTTTGACTGGCTGCTGCTCTGTGTCCTGTAGTGGGAAGAGGAAGATCACACTCATGGGATTCCACATGGAGTTTGTGGAAGGGGTCATACACAGCCACGCCCCGCAGGATGTCAGACTTCCCAGTAACAGCAGCTATCAGGTGGGTCTGTAGACACACACAAAGTATTGTTTTATTTGATCATGTCATGTCAAATCATCTCATGTCATCTTCTAGTATTATGTCATTAAACATTCCATTATAGCATGTAAGTGGTCACATGACTATACACATGCACAAACACAGAGATTGAAGCATGTCACATATTAGTCCCACTTTGTTATAATATACTTTTTTGTTACGCTGCAGTTATGTCATTCTAAAGTCGTTATCTTCTTTGTCGTCCCATTTATGTCTTATTACGTTGTATAAGCATATGTTATTTTACATCAACTAGTATCACATTGTTTCATTGTTTTATGCCATATTTCATCATGGCACATTGCATTGCTGAGTTTACCACGTCACCACCATCACCATGTCATGCTGTGCCATGCACAAATTATATCATATTATAACACTGAATGGTTTTCACTGCAGAATCTCATCTATGACACACCTGCAGCTGGAAATACTCCAGGGATTTTTACAAGCACTCTGTCTCTGAAAGTAGCCAATGAAACTTTGGCCTGCTCCACAAACATAACCTACTATCCAGATCCTGAGTTCAATAGCTTCACATCCACAAAGACACGGGACAGTGTCCTCATCAACATACAGGTAATGCATATTTTTTTAGCACACATGTAAAAATATAGGACATCAATACATAAAAGCACATCATTGTTTCTGTTATTTCAGAAAAAGGCAGACAAACTGGAGATTACCACAACAGAGCTGTTAGTGTGGGGCGTTTGTGAAAAAAAACAATACCCCTGCATCATTAAAACCAAACAAACCAGCAACGAGACTGACTTTTTCTGTGAAATTCAAAGCGCACCCGACGCTACATTTCATCAGTTAATGGTAAATATTCACACTATACCACACCAAGCTAGACAATACTATAGAGAAATAAAATAGACATTTTATTTTGTAATAGTAACAATACTACTATGCAGTATCAAGTGTGTCCAAAGTCTTCAGAAGTATATTGCCATAGAATATTTACTGAAAGTAAAATTTATTCAAAGCAGTAAACATGTATTTATGCTCTATAAAATTCTTTTCAAATATAGTGTGATTGTTTTTTACAGATAATGTATGGAGACAAGACAAAAGAGCTGACAAAAGAATCTTCTTTGTATCTGTACCTTCTGATGCTGCTTGCCATTCTCCTGGTACCATGCATTATTGTTGGTAAGTACACAAAGTATGGTAGAGTGACTTGAGACATTTTGGTCCACCACCAGGCTTAAAAAACAAATCTACATCAAACCTTAACCTATTTTCTATTTTTATTTGCAAAATTCTCTTTGCCTGCTTGGTTTTGTCTTACAGTGGTGGTAATTGTCTATCGGAGCAAACAGAAGAAGCTCGCTGCTAAAATGAACAAGTTTATGGAAGACCTGGAGCTCGACATCAGGAATGACATTAGACAAGGTCAGTCACAAATTTAGTGCATGTAGTAGTCCAGCGGTAAGGTTAAACGCCATAAATTGCATATGGAGCACAAATTTCCCTGTACGCTTTGAGTTTTTAGCTTTCGTTTTCCCTGGAGAACAGTGACTAGCCAGCTTGGATTCATGTGGGTTACAATGGATTCCAAATGTTGAAAGGAAATGAGCCTGTTGACTATTTGTGGGCCAAACTGGCCCAAAGACTGCATTTTCTCCACAGACTCTGATGGTTTGGGGTGAGCACTAAGATCATGACACTGTTTTACAACACCCTGCTGGAAAGTCTGATCAGATACGGAATGGCATCCTGGTTTGGCACCCTTACTATCCAGTGTAAATCAAAAATTGAAGACTAGTGAAATCTGCAATGAAGGTTATGGGAATAAAGACTACATATTCCTCCAGACTATCTTTGATAAAACAGTAGTCTCACAGGCACCAAACATTCTGAAGGACCCTTCCTGTATTCTGCACTCTGAGTATGAAAAATCACCTTCAGGGAAACTGGAACTAGCAGATGTAAAAGTAAGCAGTCCTTCATCCCTACTTCCACAGCTCTTGTTAATAAACAGTCTGCTCAAAGCAAACAGTCTTGAAGTGCTTCCGGCACTTTATACTTTAGTATAGTTTACTGTTTATGTTGTTTGCAATTAGTTATGAATTTTAACCACCTTGCTCCCAAATGTGTTATTAAGGTTTTTAGAACTTGTGGTTGTTGTTATTTTATTGTTTGTTTTTATTGTTTGTGATTCGATGAGCATCAAATACAACTGAACAGAATCACACGGTTGTTTTTAACATTACTCAGGTTCTAATAGATTCAGTCATCAGTTACTGATAGGTGGTATTTTTTCATATTTGTGCAATACAATGTAAATGTATTTGTGAAGTCCATATGTAGTTATTGTTACTGTAGCCTTGCAGGGCACTGATGCCCAAGAAAAGTTTCCCTCAGGGGACACTAAAGTTTATCTCAATCTTTATCAATACTGACCAGTTTAAACAGTGGAAGAAAGGATAACATTTGGATAAGTATTCAAACTTCACTTGAAACTTCTCAAGCCATTTTACTTTACTGCTTGGGGCTATAACCGCTGCTAGCATAACACACCCCAATCTTCCGTTTTATTGTGTGAAATGTCCTGTACTTGTTCTGTTTTCTGATGTCATATAAAAATGTTGCACAGACATACACTGCAGAGGTGTAAGAACAGTGCAAGTAAGTTGCTGCACCAGTACAGGCTTAGTCTGCCATTTTCACTACCTCTTTTTATTTGCAAACTGATGCCCGCTTTTAAGTTAGCTTTTTGACCTGAGACTAAATAGAAATACATATAATCTGCTTTATCCTTTGTCCTGTTATTCTAGAGTTGTAGTTCTGAGATTTAGTGTCACTCAACACACACAAGTCTGTAGTCCATAAAAGCCACTGTCTTCCACAGGTTTTGTGGATATGCAGACGGAGAAAGCTGACCTGATGGAAAATGTTGGAGCGATTCCTTTCCTGGACTACAAGCACTTTGCCTCCAGAATTTTCTTTCCTCAGGTACAGTGGAGCTGCAAAAAAAGCAAATGTTCATATCTGACAAACTGAAGCTGTTGTTGTGACATTAAATGATCATAGCCAGATTAAGAAAGCTACCTTTTTGTTATTGTTTTTCAGAATGAATCTTTCATGACATTGTGTATCAAAGACATTGGTCAGGTAAGGTTTGACACCAGCTGTTCCTGATGTTGGTACCACTTTGTAACTCTGGCAGTGACGTGTTGCTTGTATCTGACCTGAAAACAGGACGCAGTGAAGGTTCAGCTCGACGGGTGTTGCCAGAGCTTGTCCAGGCTGATCCAGGACCAGCTGTTCCTCACATCTATGGTGCACGCTCTGGAGGAGCAGAAGAGCTTCAACATCCAAGACAAGTGAGTTGTACCTGTTCATCCATTCAGTTATCCTATGGCACAACATTCTACTGTGTTTGAACTCACCTCCTGTGTCCCGTCCTTGCCTACTTTTGTCTCCCCACCTGCATCTACTCGTTCCCAGGAGTACGTTGGCATCATTACTGACCGTAGCGCTCCACAACAACTTATTGTACCTGACGGAGGTAATGGAGGCTCTGCTGAGGGATCTCATGCAGCAGAGCAGCAACGCTCAGCCCAAGCTGCTGCTACGACGCACCGAGTCCATTGTGGAGAAACTGCTCACCAACTGGATGTCCATCTGCCTTTACGGCTTCCTTCGAGTCAGTCCAGCCAGTAATTTTTAGCCATGCTAGCATCAATATCTGAAATACTGAATGTATTGCTATGAACAACTTTGTTGTCACTTATCCATAAAAATATCTTGACATCTACTAGATGGTTTGCCATAAAATTTGGAACAGATATTTGTGTTCCTCTCAGGATGAATTGAGGGGTTCTGATGATTTTTTTTTAGATCCAAGATTTTGGTTTATGACCAAATACTTGCAAACTAATTATTATTATTATCAACCTCAGTTGTATGTTGTGTTTATGGCTAATTAGTAAAGGTTAGCGTGCTGATGTCTCTGAATTTAGCTCAGAGCACCACTGTGCGTAAGTACAGCCAAACAGAGCCACTGTCATGGCTGTTGACTAGACTCACCTTAATGTTAGTAAAAATATTGGAGACATTTGTATGTCAACGTAACACAGGAACATGTTCTGTGAAGCTAAAAAAAAATACCATACAATTAAACCGTACAGATCATGCACCAGAATCCAAGTGAGGAAAGGGTTTAACAATTTGTACAATATACAAGTATTTGGTAAAAGTCACTCAGGCTCTTTCCCAGTGTACATACACTTGATGACAGTTTTAAGGAAAAACTTCCTTTTAAAAGGCAGAACCTGCAATCAAGTTCCACATAGTTGTAATATAATAGTAATGGTAGAGGAGCTCAGTGCACTATGGGATGTCTCCCGGCAGTCTAGGCCTATAGCAGCATAACTAAGGGATGGTTCAAGGCTCACCTGAGCCAGCCCTAACTATAAGCTTTATCAGGAGAGGAGCTTGATAGCTGAACGCTCTGGCTCCCAGTCTACTTTTGGAGACTCTAGGAACCACAAGTAACCCTGCATTCTGGGAGCACAGGGCTCTGGTGGGGTAGTAAGGTACTATGAGCTCTTTAAGATAAGATGGTGCCTGACCATTAAGAGCTTTGTAGGTAAGAAGCAGGATTTTAAATTCTATGTGGAGTCAGTGCAGAGAATCTAAAACAGGAGAAATAAGATCTCTCTTCCTGGTTCCTGTCAGAACACGTGCTGCAGCATTCTGGATCAGCTGGAGAGTCTTAAGGGACTTATTCGGGCAGCCTGACAATAAGGAATTGCAGTAATCCAGCCTAGAAGTAAATGACCATGCATTTGTTCCTATTTTTTCCGCATAAGTTTGAGACAGGATATACCTGATTTTTGCAATACTGCGTAGATGGGGGAAAAAAAGGTGGTCCTCGAAGTTTGTTTTATGTGGGAGTTAAAGGACATGTCCTTTCAGTGTTGCTGGAGGCTGGGCAATGCCATCTACAGTAACTTTAGATAATGCGTCTCAGAGGTGCTTAGGCCTCAATACAATCACTTCAGTTTTGTTTGATTTTAACATCAGAAAATTGCAGGCATACAGATTTTTAGATACTTAAAGCACGCTTGACTTTAGCTAACTGACTGGTTTCATCTGGCTTGATTGGTAGATAAAATTAGGGAACCATCTACATAACAATGAAAGTTTATGGAGGGTTTTCTAATAATATTGTCTAAAGGAAGCGTGTATATATAAGACGAATAGGATTGGCCCGAGCACAAATGCTTGTGACTAACTTTGGTGTACACGGAGGATTCGTTGTTAACATGTACAAACTGAGATCGATCTGATAAATAGGACTTTAACCAGCCAAGAAGTGTTACTTAAGCCATTTGAAAAAACATATCGTCCTCACAAATCTCCTCTGCCCACACACCAGATTAAAGCAAGTACAAAAATGTTTCACAATAAACATTCCCACTCTGGGTGACATCACAGAAAACTCTGCACAGAGTTACAACAGCTTCTGTGCCTTGTTTAACCGACCAACTTCCTTATTCGTACTTTGTGCAGGAAAGTGTTGGCCAGCACTTATTCCTGATGGTGAGCGCTCTGACGCAGCAGACCGCGAAAGGACCTGTGGACTGTGTGACAGAGAAAGCTCTGTACACTCTCAGCGAGGACTGGCTGCTGTGGCAGGCTCAAGATTTCAGCTTCCTGGTACAAACACACACATACACAAACACACATGGCTTAGTCAGTTGTGCTTGTACATGTGAAAGTGTTCATTTTAATGAACACCAAATTCTTAGTTCTGTCTTTGGTGTGTTAGTTTGCTAACCACAAACTTAATCTTTTACGCAGTACCCCCAATCTTCCAATACACATACTTTGTTATCAAATATAATGTTATGATATTACATTTCGAAATTGTGGGTCTTATTTTTTTTCTCATCTGATTGTGGTATGAACACTCTGGTCTGGACTTTCCTTGATAAGACAACATCCTTATTGTGTGTATATGAGGGTTTCTTGCCACATTGTGAGTCAGTGCACAGCAGCTGTTACAAACCACTTCCTCCTCCATGTCTCTTAATGCTCTTTTGAACATGCAAAGCAGCACAGTTTTAAAAAGCTTAATATGGCTTTATTTACTGCATGTTGGAAGAAAAAAAATACCTTGTTGTTGCCCGGCAGAGAAGTTCTGAAATAGAGACTTAAGTTAAAATCACTTTTGTGACGTAGTTTCAAGGCCCTTGGTAAAACAAGTAACAGTGAAACACAGTACCGTCTCATCTTACTGCCAGGCAATATCTGCTTGCTGTCAACCATTAAGAGAAAATGAGAGTTGAAGATGTTTGGTTATATAATGGAAACTAAATATAGAGAAAGGCTTGAGTTGATCAATAAGTTCTCTGCAGCATAGTGGAAACCTCTTATCTTTAGTACCACGTCTGTCCGGGTCACACTGATGACCAGGGGCGGATTGGCCATCTGGCAGTTCTGCCAAATACCAGAGGGGCCTGACCATTTCTTTTGTGTTCCCACACAGGCTTTACTTGGGCGGGCCACTCAGGTACATTAACGGCCGCCCAACGCATTGGTATATCTGGTCATTTAAGTATTTTGCAGAGAAACACTTAGAGAAATGCTATCTATTACGTAATAAGACTCCGACGGTGGATATTTTACAATCACGGACCAGGGAAAGCAACAGTGGACACAATGGTGCAAATGTAACTGGGTACAACGTTGGTTTCGGTTTCGATAGACTTCCTCATTAATAAGCCTCCTCTGCGCACCTGTGGCTGAAAACGGAATTGCGGGTGGAAATAGCGAGTGCTGTGCCGTTTTGTCCGCTTTATAAAACATAGTCCACTGCTGATGGAGAAAGTCAACAGGGTTGATTATTCGAACCAAATCAACCTTTTCTTTATTTCTCACACAGTAGACAAAAAGCACAGCTTCACTATTTATTAAGTTGTATTGTTTCAAACGTTTCTCAAATTACTGGATAATTCAAATATACAGTAAAATAGTACTGTATGTAAAATATAGCTTACAGTAGATCATATTCCACAAGGTGCAATGTGTGCTACAAAATATTGTTAACCATAAAGACACCAGACAGAGTTTTGTGAGCTGGACGCGGGATGAAACGAAAAAAAATGAAATTTAGGGCGGCTGCTTCCTAATTCCTAAAAAGCCTGTATAATTAGGCTATAGCCTAAAACATGTTGCGCTTTTAACTGAAACATCAGCAGTGCAAATAGGCTTCTTGGTGGTGGTTTCAGTGCTTTTCTAAATGTTTAGACTATCAATGCCAAACTGCAAGCAGAGTTTAAAAAGAAAACTATTCCTAAAATATTTTGATTTATTTCATGTGTGAAAAGACATAATAGGAACAATTTGATTAATATAAGCAAATTATTTAAACAGCATTCATATTTAATGATTCTGCCCCCATCTTTTTGATCACTATAAGCAGTTTCCACGGTAAATGAAGATGGCCACAGTGTGGATGCTTTTTTTCTTAATATTGCTCAATCAAAGTAGCTAATTTGCATATGTGGTTAAGAGGAAATTAATTATGTTAATGTACCTCAGATGTCTGAGCTAAATGAAACTAAATTGTTAAGGGAGTTTGAGTATAGTTAGTTTTATTTTATATTCTCATGTTTCCTCATGTGTCTTTACTACCTGTCTTTGTGTGCTTTCCCAACTGTGTGATCATCTTTACCACCCTGATTAGTTTCACCCTGATTGTTATCCTTCCTTAACATTGTCAGTTCTTGTGTCTTTCCTCTTTCAGTGGTCAGGTTGTCTGCATCTGTTCCCCAGTCATGCGTGTTGCTTCCTCCTTCAGTATTCCTGCCTGTGTTCGTCGAGCCATTACGGTTTGTCTCGTTAGATTTTTGTAATTTTGGGGGTGATTTGGCCTCACCCTGCTCTCTTTTTTCATTTCTTTTTTATTAAAGCTCACTTTTATTTCTTAAACCTGCCTGTCAAGAGTTCTGCATTTGGGTCTTTTTTGCACAACCTTTAACACAATCTATATAATGTGCTGCATCTGAGGATGAGTAACTCTGAAATACTTTTTAAACATCTAATTCCAGGAAGAGGAACAACTCAGCATTTCTCAGATTTAATGTATCTGTGAACCCACGTACTGTAAGAACACGCTTTCTTTGAACGCACCCTCATCCTCAGAGCTAAATAGAGAAGTTCCTGACACTAGATACAGATTTGGGCTTCTAACTCTTTAAAATGAAGCAATATCAACTTGTCGCAGTCAAAGCTGCATATGTCTTTGGGTTAGAAGAATTTATGTAATTTTCTGGGAATATATTAAGAATCACTGCATTAAAGGACAATAAATGAGAGGAAAATGTATCTAAAGTATTAGATGAAATCTGACACGCAGCATTGTTGCACTTACTGGTGTTTCTTTTAAACCCCATTCAAAACAACATGGTTTAATGCAGATCAGACACAGCCCAGCTGTAAGGGATGGACCCATGATTTTCATAAAGCATTGAAATACCATTAAAACTGAGAGAGAAGGAAAATATGAGTAAGTGGCCAAGCATGAGCTGGCATGCACAGATACTTGAAACTGAATCCCAACTTTATTTTGCCCTTTTGTAATCATATTCTTTGTAATGCTATGTTTGCCAGCGAAGTTCATGGAACTGCAGCTGCTGGAGCCTGCAAATACTGACGTCAGTCTCATATAACAAGGTCAAATCAAAATGATATAGATAAAGTGACATATGTTGGTATAATAATCTTAAAGGCCCTGAAAACATACATTCTCCTCTCAGTCTGTATTGTTCTTTGAGCGATGTGGTCCTTCATAAACAAACTTTCTATTCTTCACAAGTTGGACCAGTTTTGTTTTATTCACATGAAACATTTCTGTATTTGTGTCTTTAGTCTGAAGTAGGCGGGTCTCCACTGAAAAACTCCACTGAGTTGTTTGATTATGTTGCCAGGCCACTGTCAATCTAATCCAATGAAACCACCCACACAGTCCTGATGAGTTTTAGGGTGTTAAACCGTTTACAAATTATAACTGTGGTTGTTTTTTTTAGGCACACATATTTAAAGTTTTTTATAGTTTAGGAACCATGCCAACTGCAACAGTAATTCTGCCAAAGGTTTTTTTGGATTTTGGCATATAAAATGTACGTTTGCATTAGTCGACACATGAACACAATCTGCAAATGTCTACAAACCTGCAACAGTAATTTCATTTGAATCATCCCCTGTGCATTTCTTATGTAAAACATCCTCGGTATTCTGTGTTACTCTTCATTTCTATTTCCTTCCCTCTGCTGCTACAGTGACCCAACACACACAGCTGTCTTGAACATTTTATCTAATCTAACAAACACCATCTCACTTTAGTGCACGTTTACAGCCATTATACTGTGTGTGCATAAGCCACAAAACTGTAGAAAAGAAACAAGATGGAGACTAATGGTACATTAATTCGAACAACACTGCTGTTAAAGCCTTTCATTAACCACACTTTACCTCAAATTAATGTGTTGGAATATGAAACTTCTTTTGTTTTGAGGCTTTGGTTCAGTTTCTGCATGATGGGAAATCTGAGGTTAGCATGAGTGGTTATTTTGGTGGTTTCTGACAAGTGGGATTGCAAGCAGCTGTGTGCATGTGCTAGTGTGCTGAGCTTTTTAGTAACCATTCACACATAGACTGACATGGATTCTACAACGGAGATAGTTGTTAGCAGGCTGTAAAGATCTCTCGACCAGTAATTAGCAAAAAGTCAATGTCAATTTTGTCGATTTTCTGTTTGCTTTCTACAGAAGCTCAAGGTGCTGTTTGCAGTGGGCAGTGACGGAGAGGTCAGCGAGCCTCTGGAGGTCAAAGCTCTCAGCTGTGACACAATAGAGCAAGTCAAAGAGAAAATCCTGTCCACCTTCAAGGCCAAGTTTGGTTTCCCCTTCAGCAGCCCCATCAGGGACGTTTGTGTCGGTAAGAACCAGCACAGTCTCTTTAGTCCTGTGTCTTTTAAATACTGAGATTACACTAAAGATCAAAACTAACCATGAACCAGTGCTAAGTGTTGCCTATGTAGACGAAGCCGGATCTACTTTCTTCATCTGCCACAGAGCTCCAGTGTTGTCCAAAAACTACACTGCTCAAAAAAAATGAGAAATACATTAATCACACATCAGATCTCCATGAAGGAAATACTTCAGAGTTCAAAATCTGTACTATACATAACACAACCAACCGATTGAGGGCTGGATTCAAAATCACACCGAAATAAAGGTAAAAAAAATTGAAATTACACGCTGATCCAACTTGGAGAAGCTAGACTACCTGTGCAACCTGAATGGGCTGGAGGTACCGCCTCATGCTACCAGCAGTGAGAAGGACACTAGCAAAATGCAGAACTAGAGAACAATCAGACAGGTAGGATAAGGAGAGAGCAAGTGTCTGTAGCCACCGGCTGCAAAACCATTTCCTCTTTGGGGGTTGTCTTGCTGTTGCCTCTCCAGTGCGCTTGGGGCAAGTTCAATCTCAAGATCTTTTGCACTGGTTTGCCACTTTTTCAGATTGAACGACATGTTTCCTCGTTGTGTAACGTTCCGCAACAGGCTTCTAAGTATGTTTCCTTCTGTTTGGTGGGCATGTCACAGGTGTTACCCAAACAGCGGCGACAAGTTTGTAAACACAAAGGTGTTAAAAAGGCAGGGAAATGCAATGCACTTGCGTGCACAACAGGGTGTTCAAGGCACCACCGTTCCCGTGGAGAAAAAAAAATGTTTTGTCAGCGCTGAACTCACACCTATTATCACTTACATTTGCACCAAAACAGGTGGCACTGATTCACAATCATTTATGCCTCCTAACTGCACAGATTCAAATCCCTGAAGTTTAACTGACATGATGTTATACTGTGATGATTAAGTGGTCATTTTTTGAACAGTGTTTTTAAAAATACATCAAAGTGCCCCACGATGCACTGATTTACATGTTCCTTCATTACCGTGAACATGGTTATTATGCCAGTCCCACATACATCATCATGGTGGTGCATCAAATGGGTATTAATCTTAGGCAGAAAATGGTTCCCAGTAAGTGTATTATTTCCTCCTCTTTGTATATGCTTCAAACTACAGTGCCGGGCTGTCTTAGGAAATTACTGCGCCTCTTATAAAAATTAAACCATATATTTTTGAAGATTAATGTCTTTTTGAAAAAAAACCCATTTCATTCTAACTTGGTCACTTTTTCTCGCCAGAGTATGAGAAGGATGGATTGTTTGTCCCTCTTGAGGAAGTGGACGCGAGTTCGGAGGTCATCGGGGACGTGACAATGCTCAATACACTGAAGCACTACAAGGTGAGAAATAGGAGTATTAGAGGGGGAAAAAAGCATTGTGTAAGTGGAAGAAGAGAGTCATACTGTATTCTCTTGCAGAAACTGAGCAGATGTTTCTGTTTGTGTTATGTTGTGGCGTGGGCTGAAAAGAGGATGCTGCTGAGGTGAAACTGAACAGAAACACGGCCACAACACTGAAAAAAGCTGGTTCTCTGTCAGTTGGAGGAAATCTCCTCTCACTTTGAGTATTATTGTTGCGTTCCTGCCTACAGGAGGAGAGTATGCATACAGAAACTGGATTCAAAATCTAAAAAACAAATCAATCATTGCAAATACCTCCCTTTTAATATAGCGCATAGACAACTTTAATCTTAAAGGAAAAGGCTGCATAGTTTCACATGCAGGAGGAACCAGAAGAGGAGAAGTAGCTGTTTTAAATGTAAAAACATCTAAAAGGTGACACAAAAACCCTTTACAGAGGTGGCAGATGATCTGACATCAGCTCTCTGTGTACTGAACACAGTTGTTCATGGAAAGTAACTCAAAAATGTACTTTTACTTTCATTACTTTGTTGTTAAATTGAATCATTTCCTGTGGGCAACAACCGTATTGCATCTCACTGAGAGAAGATGGGAAGCTGTACTCCATCTCACTTTGTCAATAAAGCTGCCTAGAGAGAGTTTTTATATCAACGGAAAGAAATGTACTGGAGGAAGAGTGGTTCCTAATGGCTTCTTAATGGGATCAAGGGAGTCTTCTTGTGCTATGCATCTCCTATCCATCAGTACCCTCAGAGCCTGGGAAAGATAAACTCTGCCCCACGAGTGAAAACCTGGTGGCCTGGACTGTGTTGGCCAAAGCCATCCTGCAACTGAAAAAATCTTTCTTCTAGCAAATATCAAGTGAAGACGTTCTAAGTTCCTCAAAAGCTACCCACTACATTAGAAATGTAAGCCTTCTGAAGTGTAGGGGAGTGGTACGAGTGTTTGTTCCCAGCTCACTAATTTCACAGCAAGGTTTCAAAATGAAAGAAGATGTCATTTATGAACCTTTCTGTGGGATGGTCTGTTTGCACCTCTGTAGGTTCCTGATGGAGCGACAATCAAAGTGCTTTCTAAGAAAACTCATCCTCCTCTGAGCCCGCAGGGAAGTCTGAAGGGTAAGAGCTGAGAAGGGAAACTCTGTTCACATTACACATGCAGGGATAGTTTTGTAAAATATGCATATTCGCTTTTATTTTTCAACAAGAGTAGATGAGAAGATCAATAGGACACTCTGCGCACTAATATGAAGATAGACCCAGGGGGGAATTATTTTAGCTTAGCATAGAGACTGGAAGACATACGGCTTGCCTGGCTCAGTCCAAAGTTAAGAAATATGCCTGCCAGTTGGATCTCAAATGTTAATCTTAATCTGTTCAATTAATTTTACTAAGAGGAAAACAGTTGGTGGGTCCTGTATTCAGAGTAGCTTACTGATGAGGCGATATCAATAAGCTATAGCCAGGAAGTTAAAATGAGGTATCTTTAATTGGAAATAACAGACTTCAGAGTTTACAATCAACTTCACTCTCTAAGCATCAAATGGGTCCAGTCAGCTTGTGGTACTTTTTGTACCAGCCATGAAAACTGTTCTCATAGTTTATTCTTGACCATGGCATCAGTACATGTGGCAAAATAATCTTCACTCAAGGTCTTCTTACTAGTTTTTTCTGAGCTTCTAACCACTTCTTACAGTCTTGATCAGCAAATGGAACTGGCTGAGTTGCCATCATGTGTCCTAAAAAACTGGAACACGGGACATGACTTGACGCCGGAGTCCAGAGACCTTGAGATGCAGTTGAAAGCTCATAAACGGCCAGCAGGTGGACCTTGAGTTGAGATTATTTTGTAACACAAAAGTGGACATTGTGAGTTTGAAATTATTATTTTTTTTTTTTTTACACTGTAGTGGACTAACATCCTAGCTGTTAGTTGGAACACAAGCAGCGCTGAATTATTTTTAATACATTTGGAACCACTGAACTAGGTTCTAGATGGCAGAAGAGGAAGTTGATTTCTAATAATGATGATGTTAATGATTGCTGTTCATTTGTTTTACTTTTAGATGACGAGAACTTCGCTGGAAAATACTTCCACTTGGTAAGTTTGTGTTTTTTTTCTTTGTTTGCACAGGTGAATCATCACATCAGTTTACAAGACAGGGACATTTTCAACACCGCACATGTGTGCATAACACTAAATGTTATAAGGGTAGTGAGGTTAATCAATGTAAGGGTGTTTGATGGTTCTTTTCCGCAGATTGATCCCGATGTAGACGAGGACCAACGAAAGAACCCAGAGAGGAAGAAGTTAAAACTAAAGGAAGTGCACCTCACCAAGCTGCTCTCCACCAAGGCAAGGGGAACAATGGCTCATTTTACTTCAGCACGTACCAACACTAGTTTTATATAGCACATCTGAAAACGGCAGATGAGCACTTTCCGTTCAGGGGAGATGGGTTAGAATCTATCTCAGTATACGATAATGCAGTAACACAGAGAAGGTAAGACTAAAAATGGAAACCCAACACAACAAACATGATAAAATATGATATTTGTTTTTTTAAAGGTGAGAAGTGTGAAATAGAATAAAACCAGTGACAGAATAAAACACAGTAAGAGGACGTTAGAAATGAGAGAGGACTTGAGAAAATCTAGTGGGGCAGAACTAAAGGCAAGAGAAAAAAGATTGGACTTTGAATTGGATATAAAAATGTCAATAGTGGAACAGGACTTAATGTGAGACGGCAGGCTGTTCCAGGGAGCAGCAACAGAGAAAGCCTGGAAGAATATGGAGTTAGCAGATCAGCGATGTATTGTGGAGCTAATCCATTTAAGGCTGTAAAAACAAATAGTAAGATTTTGAAATTGATTCTGGTAACTAACATAGGTGAGCCAGAACAGGAGCAATGTGCTGTCCTTTCTTTCTTCCAGTCAAAACTCTAGCACCTGCACTAGCAGAACTGATACCAGTCTCAGTCTCTTACACAGTTATGTTTACCATCTGTAGCGGTGTTAATGTTGCAGAGGAAGCGTGCTATTGCTGTTACTCTTGTCTACACAGGAGGCGTAGCGTGAGCAGCACATTGGCAGAGCAGCAGCAGCTTCAGTGCTCCGTGTACACAGGATGCATTCACGCACAGTGCTGAGTATAGGTCACCCGCTTTTTGGCAGAGCTCTGAATCGAAGACACAATCACGTGTAAAACTAGAAGGAAAAAATAGACCTCACATTGCATTTAAACAGCAGCCTTTACATGGCCTGTGTGCAGCCTCACTGATTAAAATAGAAGTGTATCTGTTCTGTCAGACACGTTCGAGATGGACAACTGCAAATGTGCGGCTGAAACACTTCCTGTTGTGGTGACCTCTTTTTTTTTTTATTTGGAGAGGTTTTTGTCAGATAAGAAAGTAGATGACACTTAATATTTCCTTTTTTAAAAGAGGAAATAAATAATTAAAAGTGCAGAGTTCTGGTGAAAGAATGGGTGTATATCTGATTATTTCAGAGGGGAGAGAATTCAAACAAAATTTGAAATATCTCGTTTGCTGCTCCTTACCTGTAGATGCTTTAACATCAGTAATTTTTTCTTTTCACTGTGAACTACACAGCAGAGAAGGACATTATTTTGTTTTTTCTCTTCTAGGTGGCAGTGCATTCATATGTGGAGAACCTGTTCAGATCAATCTGGGGGACGCCGTACTCCAGAGTTCCACACGCTGTCAAATACTTCTTCGACTTCCTGGACGCTCAGGCAGACAGCATGAAGATCGCCGACCCAGATGTCCTGCACATCTGGAAGACCAACAGGTATGGCTGAGTCATCAAAAGCTCTGTGGACAGAAGGAAACAAACAAAAAAATAATATGTACAGGTGCTGGTCATATAATTAGAATATCAAGAAGTTGATTTATTTCAGTAATTCCATTCAAAAATTGGATATTATATTCATTCATTACACACAGACTGATATATTTCAAATGTTTATTTCATTTAATTGTGATGATTAAAACTGACAACTAATGAAAATCCCGAAATTCAGTATCTCTGAAAATTTGAATATTACTTAAGACCAATACAAAAAAAGGATTTTTAGAAATGTTGGCCAACTGAAAAGTATGAACATGAAAAGTATGAGCATGTACAGCACTCAATACTTAGTTGGGGCTCCTTTTGCCTGAATTACTGCAGCAATGCGGCGTGGCATGGAGTCCATCAGTCTGTGGCACTGCTCAGGTGTTATGAGAGCCCAGGTTGCTCTGATAGTGGCCTTCAGCTCTTCTGCATTGTTGGGTCTGGCGTATCGCATCTTCCTCTTCACAATACCCCATAGATTTTCTATAGGGTTAAGGTCAGGCCAGTTTGCTGGCCAATTAAGAACAGGGATACCATGGTCCTTAAACCAGGTACTGGTAGCTTTGGCACTGTGTGCAGGTGCCAAGTCCTGTTGGAAAATGAAATCTGCATCTCCATAAAGTTGGTCAGCAGCAGGAAGCATGAAGTGCTCCAAAACTTCCTGGTAGACGGCTGCGTTGACCTTGGACCTCAGAAAACACAGTGGACCAACAACAGCAGATGACATGGCACCCCAAACCATCACTGACTGTGGAAACTTTACACTGGACTTCAAGCAACGTGGATTCTGTGCCTCTCCTCTCTTGATTTCCAAAGGAAATGCAACATTTACTTTCATCAGAGAACATAACTGTGGACCACTCAGCAGCAGTCCAGTCCTTTTTGTCTTTAGCCCAGACGAGACGCTTCTGACGCTGTGTCTTGTTCAAGAGTGGCTTGACACAAGGAATGCCACAGCTGAAACCCATGTCTTGCATACGTCTGTGCGTGGTGGTTCTTGAAGCACTGACTTCAGCTGCAGTCCACTCTTTGTGAATCTCCCCCACATTGTTGAATGGGTTTTGTTTCACAATCCTCTCCAGGGTGCGGTTATCCCTATTGCTTGTACACTTTTTTCTACCACATCTTTTCCTTCCCTTCGCCTCTCTATTAACGTGCTTGGACACAGAGCTCTTTAGCAATGACCTTTTGTGTCTTGCCCTCCTTGTGCAAGGTGTCAATGGTCGTCTTTTGGACAGCTGTCAAGTCAGCAGTCTTCCCCATGATTGTGTAGCCTACAGAACTAGATTGAGTGACCATTTAAAGGCCTTTGCAGGTGTTTTGAGTTAATTAGCTGATTACAGTGTGGCACCAGGTGTCTTCAATATTGAACCTTTTCACAATATTCAAATTTTCTGAGATACTGATTTTGGGCTTTTCATTAGTTGTCAGTTATAATCATCAAAATTAAAAGGAATGAACACTTGAAATATATCAGTCTGTGTGGAATGAATGAATATAATATCCAAGTTTCACTTTTTGAATGGAATTACTGAAATAAATCAACTTTTTGATGATATTCTAATTATATGACCAGCACCTGTATGTAGTGCAGTGGTATATGACCTTGAGCATGTCTACTAAAAACCTGTTTTTCTTCCCTGGTAACTGTCGTCCTGCTACCAGTTTGCCTCTACGCTTCTGGGTCAACATCCTGAAGAACCCCCAGTTTGTTTTTGACATTGAGAAGACACCACATTTGGACGGCTGCCTTTCTGTCATCGCTCAGGCCTTCATGGACTCCTTCTCTCTTAGTGAGACCCAGCTGGGGAAGGTAAAGTCCACGTGTCAAAGTGTATTATTGCAGGAAGTCCAGTTTCCCTTTGTTTGTTCAGACAGCATGCAGGGGTGAAACCAAAAGTCGGTCAATCTTAAAAAGAAAGCAAAATCGTGCATCTACCCAAAGGAGGTTTGCACCTATGAATGCAAAGAAGTTTGCTTGACACTCTTCCTTGAATCTTACTGTGTTCCAGCATGCACCTACCAACAAGCTCCTCTATGCCAAAGACATTCCCAAGTTCAAACAGGAAGTAAAGGCTTACTACAAGCAGATCAGAGAACAGTCTCCACTCACAGACTCAGAATTCAAGGACTTCCTGCTGGACGAGTCAAAGGTAACGTCCAATTCAGTACATCTTTTTTTTAATTTAAAGTGGCGCTGTGATGGAAGGACAGTGAGTGGATAGGTGTTTGTTTTCATTTCAGAAACATGAAAACGAGTTCAACGATGCTGCCGCCCTCAGAGAGCTCTACAAATTTATCAAGCGATACTTCACAGAGGTCAGTTCTTTTCACTTCCAGACTAGCTCGTGCACATTTTTCTTTTCACTTTCATGGTGTTAGGTTTTCATGTTTAGTTTCAAATCACTTTGGATGTTTTTAGATGGTTTTTAAAGGAGAGTGAAACCCTTAGACGATGACCAGTATGAACTGATGAGGATGTTGGAGATGCCACGTCTGGTTTTGTTGCAAAAATATTTTAGTTAGTGTGAACACTCGCTGTCATTCATGTTGACACCCTTCAGTAGAGCTGGCTGACAGACTGACCTATTTCAGTTTGACTATAAAAAGTTGTAAGTTGTATGATTTTGGGTCTGATTTTGTATTATAAAAATCCATGTCTTTTGCTTTTTCACTATCAATTGCAAATATGTCTGTGTGATGTGTGGGTGACAACAGATCTGAACTGTTAAACTAGTGAATCATAAATCTAATTTGACCTCACAACATAGTGGTGTTAAAAGGGAGCTGCGGCTTAGAATTAGTGGCTTATCTACTGATCAGAAGGTCAACGTGACTCTTGGGCAAGATACTAAACCCAAAGTGTGAGTGTGTCTATGAACATCTGTTCCAGTGTGATGAGCCGTTGGCAAAAGAGCTTTAAGTAGTCAGAATACTAGAGAGGTGTCATACCAGCCCTTTTTCCTTAAGAGATTATTGTGTTAATATTTTAGACATGTTTATTTATGGTGGTGATTTCTGCTTCATGAGCACCACATCAGTGGTTTACCCTCATTTTAGATGCCATCTCCTTAGAAACATCTGAGATGTTGACAACAGCCGAGAGCGACTTTGCTTATGAAAGTGACACGAGTGTCACGAGGCCCCGTGTGGAGAGGAAATGAGATTTTGAACCTTCTGATTTCCCTTTGCTTCGTTTATCAGGTTTTCATTTCCTGCTCTCATTTGCAGCGCAGCTCCTCTTCAAAAGCCTTTGAGGAATAGCCTAATACAAATAAACAAGCGGCATTACCGAACAAGCTCCCACCAGTTGTTTTTTTATGAACTGAAACATTCTACAACACAGTACCACAGGAAAAGGCTTGTTGAGCTGCATGTGCTGTCTGGTGTTGAGGCTTAAATTTACATCTTAATGACACAGGCTAACACTTTTTATTGGAAGGTGTGCCTGAAATATACCCCACGCCACTGACAGAATTTTGACTAGATTGTAGTAAAATGTGGATTTATAATATGCCTGTAAAATGTCTTAAAATGGCTCTTTTGGGTACTTTTGCCTTTTCTACAGATCCAAGATAAGCTGGACCAAAACGGGGCCCCTGATGACCTGAAGGAGCAGCTAAATCATGTTAAAAACTTGTTTGATGGACTAAAAAGCTGCTCCTGGAACTGAGCGACCATCCTTGCACTTATAAATGAACTACAGATGACATGAGGAGAGGAAAACTCAGCAAAAGCTGTCAGACATTTGTCCAGCATGCATCCTGCCCTGCTACTATGATGGAGAGAACATCCCGATTTAAACAGTTCCAGAGGAGCTGAAAGGGAGCTGCTAACCATAGCAGAGTTTTTGTCTTGATGCTTTTCACAGCGTCATCTGCCCTGACGTGACAAAGTCTGTTGGAAACTCTGAATCCTGGGATGTTTATGGCATAAAAATGGCCACCTTTGAAGACAATGAAGCGAGGCGCATATCACCTGCTTATATTAAAGGACTTGACTGAATGCAGTTTTGTAACACGTCTGCCGACCAGTCTTGTGTCAGATGGATGTAGTTCTGCAGTTTCACAGTATTGTGTGGCAACAAATCTGTTCAGTTAATAACAGTTGTTTTTCACTGTACTGGGTTCACTGTAATCATTACTCAAGATCCCACACACAGAGTCAAAAGACAGATATCAGGAAACAAGTTTTTTTTCAATACAATTTTAGTAAAACCTGTTGGAAATGACTGTATAAACTTTGTATTCACTCATCTGTATAAAAAGCTTTCCCAAGTGGCTTAAGAGCAAATGTGTGTAAACAACAAACATGTCAATATAACATCAAACCCTGAGGATTTAGTGGTCAATCTTAAAAAAAGGGAAGAAATGCTGAGAAAATCCATTCTCATTTCTCCATTTTTTTATGGAAATATGGCAATAAATAAAGCTTCTGCTCTAAATGCTTCTAAAACACAGCTGGGGTCCTCAATGTGACAACCAGGACGCCATCTCGCTCTGTATTTCAAATGCAAGTCCAGTGGGAAGAAGTGTTGGGGTGTCACAGGTCAGGCTGGGGAGTGAGGGCCCGGTCCCTCTGCACCAGAGATCCCAGTTCCTCCAGCTGCTGCTGCTGGGCGCTTTCCAGATCCTCGAGCCGCCGCCGCAGCAGAGAAAGCTCCCTCTGATGCTGCTCCTCCTGCAGCATGGAGGGAAAACACGCACTTTACAGAAATGCTTCCCTCGATCACACCAACACCCACACGCCTTGTTCAAACAGTCTGTATTTCACACATGCATGCTGCTTCCTCTGGATTCATTCACACTTTGGTAAGTCTGTATAAACCTTAGGTTTCACATTGGCTGTGGGGTTTCACTGTTACCAAACCTTGTGTTTGTCAGTGATTATTTGATCTTCCTCATTTCACTCTCATGACCGTAACATTTGTTCATTTGTAACTTCAGGAGCTCAGCTCAGTACATAACAGGTTGCTATGAGAAGAGGGGGGGAAAAGACTGGGACATTTAATTTCCTCAAAACTCAACGTGTGTTAGCTTTATTGGGCTGGGCGCCGTTTCAGAAAGCAGGTTTAACAAACTGAGCTGATTAAGCCCGAGATGTGAAAAGTTTCAGAACAGCTGATCAGAATTAGTTCAATCAACTAGTTATGTTGAAACTGATAGAAGGTGTGTGAATGGAAAAAAGACATAAATGTGTCATTACAGTAACTGTTGCCATCCTGACTGCCTAACCTTAATGTCCACAGAGTCGCTTTTAGATTTTATTCTGTGCTGAGGATAAATCCACGGTGTCCAGAGATGTTGTCTCTGTCCTTACATCGATGACAGATGCATCTTAAAAGCAGTCATGGTTTAGATTTTGTTTGGGTAATGAACTAAAATCTAAAGTCTCTGAAACCGATAACCCAGACTCTCCCTCATCTTAGGCTTAACAAACCCAGAGTTTTCACTAAACCTGCTTTCTGAAACAGGGCCCAGGGTCTGTCTATCTTTGTGTGTAAAAACTGGTCTCTGTAGCTGTCACTTTTGTGGCCATTTAACTATTCATAGTGTTACCATCCAGCTACACTACAGTCTGATGCAAACAGCTGGTTATGCTTACTGGTATGTTGGAGAATGGCCCTTCAGACCCCAGGAGGAGGAAGGGGGTAGGTGAGGAGGTCAGGAAGGCGGGGCCAGCACCGTAAGGAGCCTGGCCGCCAAATAGGAGGCGTCGAAACTCATTGTGTCGTCGCTGCAGCTCCTTCAACCGTCTGCTGAGTTGAGCTTGCTCCTCTGAGAAAGATGAACGTCTGCACGGGGGGGGGCAGAAATTTGGAGTTGGAAATTAGACAACTTTCCACACTGTTGGCCAGACATGACAAGCAGGCCTGTGACTGGCTCCCTTGTAGATTCCTGTGTGGTTGCTTAATGTCTTTTTGGGAAAGTGAACTTCGACAAAATTTCCTACAAGAAATATCATAAAAATATTAAGGTGACATGTTCCTCAAGAAAAAAGTAAGTTTGACCAGTGACACAGCAGCAACGCCTGGCCAGTTAACTTAACTATATTATATCATTCATTAAATGAGAGATTTGAAGTTTACTTCTTGGCTGCAGCAGCTTCCAGTTCCAGCTCCTCTATCTTGGCCTCCAGCAGCTGGATCTTATCATGCAGCCCCTTCTCTTTGTTCTCCGTCAGCGTTTTCCTCTGCACGACACACCCACACCAACGTTTAGCTCCTAGACAGTGTTATGAGGCGTTTCCACAATCTGCTGAAAGTAAAGAGGCTGGGAGCGGCCGTACCTTCTTCTGGGCCGCTGCTGCCCTCTGCAGTTTCTCTTTGACCTGGGAGTATTTCTGCTGCAGCCCAGCGGCTCGCTCCTGCAGCTTGTGTTTCTCCTCCAACCACTCCACCTGACGGTCCTCCACCAGCCTGGAGCAACAACACACAGAGAGAAGGGGGGGGGGGAGAGTGTTTTAATTGAGTCCTGTTTCATAGTTAATAGGGCTGCATAATCATTTTTTTAATCAATTAATCTGATTCTTAATCTGAAGAGACACACGAAGCACATTAGGATAATGATAGTAGCATATTTTATGATTAGTCTAATTTCCAAATGTCACTGCTGTGTTAGGATATGATTAATAATAATAATAATAGACCCCATCTGTCAGATGCCTGATCAGGAACGCGTTCCTCGTGTTGATAATCCTAATATATTGTGCTTGTGTGGGGAGCCGTCTTCCGCCACAAGTGTTCATACGCAGCAGTTGTGCTGCTGTGATAAACCATTTCCAATTTATAAAGCTGACAGAGCACCTCGTTGTCTAAAATATTCCCAAACTTTATATGGTCATAGACAAGGTCTTTTCAGATGCAGCTTGTTCTCTGGAGGAATCCCTGCCGACGCACGTTATGAAAATTGAAGTCTTACCGTAATCAGTGATGTGAGTGAGTCGCCCCAGGCCCAAATAGTTAAGATTAGCGGATTTATTTCAAGAGCAGATGTACCTCTCTGCCTCGTGCTGGCTCTTCTCAGCCTGGGCTCGGGCCGCCCTCAGCTCCTCCCGGACTCTGTCCAGTGTTCCTCTCAGTCTCTGGTTTGCCTCCATCAGGTCACTTTCAGAGTGAGACAGTGTCCCCAGCTGGACACTCAATTCCTGGTTCTGCTGTTGGGTCAAACAAACAAAAATTCACACACTCCCCTGGGTTTTTTTGTTTTGTCGTGGCACGCCGACTGCAGGACAAATAACACTTTGAGATAGCTGACGTTGACTCACCTGCTGTAGGTCGGCAATCTCCGCTTTCTGTCTCTCAAGCTCGTCAAGCTGTGAGCTTTGCTGCTGGAGTTTGGTTCTGTAAAGACAAAAAAAAAAACATCTTTCTGGTTGTTCATTTTATTATTTTTCCCTTTTGTCTTGCACAATAGGCAATTGCACACCTAACTTAAAGATTACAGTGCTGTAATTTTCACTAAATAAGAATCTAAATGATGGTATAAAATGGCATCGACATCCTCACAAGCTGGGCATGGCAAAACTGGCACAATGTTTTCTGAGCAGTTGGCCACAAAATGTTTATATGGGAACAGAAACTAGAGCAAAGAGTCTGTAAAGGAAACTGAGAAGCGTTCCTTTCATCTAAATTTGTTTCAGCAAAAAAACTGTGGCCTCTACATGCACAGTTCCTTCTCAGTTAAAAATAATAAGTGAACCCAGAGCTTGGTAGTTATAATGTACGTATCACCACGTAGATAAGACGTAGCAGATAACACATGTGGATATTACATTAAAAAAAGGCATATTGATGTTTGCTGACTGTAACTGACTAAGGCAGCTGTGCAGGTTTAGTAACACTCAACATTCAGTCCAAAGCTGACCTTAGGTTTTGCAGTTCCCTGCGGGCCGACTCCTCTCCTTGTTGTGCACTACGGAGACGCTCCTCCCAATCCTCCGACTGGGCGTGGTCTGCAGCTTCCTGCAGCGCTCTCTGCTGTTCCAGAGCAGCGAGACGGTTCTCCAACTCCAACCTAACAACATAAATCAATTGCAAATCCTCTCAAATGAAATGTAGTCAGGCAGAAAAGGCAGAAGTAAAGGCTGAGCTGCACAGAAATGCCATTTTTGATTTTGTACCAATTAGGCATTTATATTATCCACCTAGCTGGAACGATCAATGACTGAAATAAAATTAGGGTGATTCTCACTTTTCCTCGTGCAAGGTTGCAGTTTTGCGGAACTCCTCCTCGCGGGCAGACTGCACTTTCCTCACCATCTCCCTCTCTTTCTCCACCAGAACTTCCTTGTGTCGCTCCACCGCAGCCTTCAACACCTCCACGTCCGCCTGCAGACCTGAGACACAAGTTACCGTGAGAAACTGAGGGTACTGTAAAAGTTACAATTATTCTGTGCTTTGAGAGACTAAGGTCTGGATCAAATAAAATAACTAACCTATGGCCATGAATAGTCAAAGAACAACAAAGAATCTGTTGCTGCAGCAAATATTTTTTGTGTTTACTATTGACCTTTTTTCTAGACAGCTAGTGAAGAAAAAAAAAGACTGTGGGTGGGAGGTGGGGTGACTAATTTCCACCCAGTGACTGAATACAAAATCAAAGGCTGAAATATCGTGACAAGCGAGGAGGGTGGCCCATTTCTCTCTGCAGATTACTCACAGGTGTGTGTGCGTGTGTGCGTGTGTGTCTCCATACCGTCAATCTGCCCCTGCAGTGTGTCCCTCTCCCTCTCCAACTCCCCTTTAGAGCGGGTACACTCCAGTTTGACACTGGCCACCTCCAGTTTATGTGAGTGCTTCAGACTTTCAATCTGAGAACCAGAAAATTAGATAATTTATCTTTTTTTGACATTTATAAAGACTGTCTAACAATTCAACCACATTTGGATAGATAGAAGGAGCATTTCACAACCATAAAAACACAGATTTGAAGTCACATTGTGACAAAAACCACGGAAGTGAACAAAACCTGGGTAGACAAAAGGGTACAAGTTTCCCATCACTGGCAAACCTTTCCAGCTTGATGCATTATAATCCTTTCACTTAACCCGCCATGAAGCCCAGACAGTGCTCTGTAATGACTCCGTGTATACTCGTGATATGGCAGTGGATAACACATGTTAGAGGTCAAGGTGCGGCGTACCTGGCAGGTGAGGGAGTTGGCTTCTCTCTCAGCTTTGTGGAGTCGTCCTGTGAGCTGGCTGTTCTGCTCATGGGTCAGATGAAGCTCGCTCTCCATCCGCTCCAGCTGCAGACGCAGCGACTGACGCTCCGCCTGTCACAACCAACAACCAATCAGATCCAACAATCACCAAAAAAAAAAAAATGTAGATTTTTATGTAGATTTTTCCTGTCCCCTTTATAGCTCCTATAATCTTAATGTGAGATATAATGTGATCCTCCTTAATAAATAAAAAAAACCTAAGTCCTGTAACATGACAGCAGGGCCGCTGCTGTCTCACCTCCAGAGACTTCACTGTGGCCTGAGACTCCGTTAGCTGTCTGATCTGAATGCGTTGGACGTTCTCGGCCTGTTGGCCCGAGTTGTCCTTCTGGGCGCGAAGCTCGGCCACCTCTGCCTCCAGGCCCTTCAGGCGCAGGTGGAGCTGGGCTTTCTCCCTCAGCAGAGCCTCCACTCGTTTCCCATCACGCAGCGGGTCTGAACTCTGGTATTGAGCCACCAGGTCTTCCCTATCCCTCTCCAGACGAGATATCTGACAACAGGAGGGAGGTCGTTTAAATTAGCATCTACAGTATCTCACATTTGTTGCCAGCGGTTTAGACATTAATGGCTGTGTGATGTGTTATTTTGAGGGGACAGTAAATTTACACCGTTATACAAGCTGCACACTCACTACTTTACATTGTAGCAAAGTGTCATTTCTTCAGTGTTGTCACATGAAAAGATATCAAATATTTAAATATGTGACTTACTGTACTTTCACCTGTGAATAACAACAACTTGACATCACACTATTATTTTACTTAAGAGCATAGAACAACCAAAATTCTGACCGACCAAACCTACCTCTGCTTCAAAGCGGATCCTCCTCTCCTCCAGTATACGAGCATGTTCTTCGCTCTGGTGGTCAAACTGGGACTTGAGGAAGGTGAACTCATACCGCAGCTTGTTGTACTCTGACCTGTATTTCTCTGTCTCCTAAAAAGAACCACAAGTACACACATTAGCTCCAAATCAGTGAGAGGAGAGAGGTAGCAATCAAGCACACAATGGAAATGAGCTGCTGTTCCCTTGAAAGCGCAGACTTTCAAATGACTTTCAAAAGGCAATCAATGCTAATCGCTTGACCGTTGCTATGGACTTAATAGTCACAGCTGCTAACGCCAATTTACAGCAGGTACTGAAGGATAAATGTACTTCCTTCTGCAGTAGATGCCACAGCTGTTTATTCATGTACAGTATTCCATATGGTGACATAATCCATAACACCAAACCTAAAAGGAACATTCTGTTTTAGCGTTGTTACTGTCTTTATATCAGAGCTGCATTACATTATATGACTTCCTGTCAATCACAAACTCCGACAGGAAGTAATGTATGTTTCCCCAGGGAATTAATCCCTCGAAAATCAATCAGTACATCCATTTCTTTTCATTTAGAGCATCTCTTTAGAGCAGGACAACCATTCATGACAAGCTAGGTTTACCATGTCTAAGCTTAGAAAATGTTATATATATATATATAATTTCATGTGTATACATTACATAATGTAGTGGGGATTGTAAACTAGACACAAATTTGAAGTAAATGGGTAGTTACTATCATAGATACTAGTGCTCTCTCTCTCTCTCTCTCTCTCACACGCTGAAGTGAGTAGCCGCTGTTTGTACAAAGAACACAGATGGAAACAGACAGAAACAGATAGACAGACCGACCTCCTCCAGTTTACTGAATCTCTCTCTGACAGGAGCCTCCATCTCCTGCTGCACCTGAGCTCTGAGCAACTCCAGCCGCTGAGGGGTCATCACCTGGTCACACACACACACACACACACACACACACTTGTGTTCAGTCAGTGGAAGTTTAACTGCACAGAGGCAATTTATTAATTTATTACATTAAAAACTAAAATCTCAGCCACACCAGAAACAAATGTGTCCTTTTGTGAATCTCGTTCCGCCCTTTAATCAATCAAAGAGCAGCATAATGTATCATAGTTTCAGTAGTGTGAGGTTTTCTTGTCTCGAGTTTGGTTTACCTGCATTCGAAGATCCTCCAGCTCTCTGGTTTTGTCCAGCAGCTCCCCTCGGAGCTCGGCCAACAGCAGCTGCAGTTTCTCCTGCTGAGCCTGTCTGTCACTCAGCAGGCGCTTCAGTTCACTCTGCGCCCGGGTGAACTCATCCTGCAAGCTGCAAAAAAAATGAAAGTGGTGCTGAGACTGAGCAAAGTGAAGACCGACAGGGAAACTGTGAAGCATGATGCACGGTGAAAAACAGGAGGGTTTGATTCATAATTCATACACAACATGACACAAAAGATAAGGACCGCTGAGAGGATCAAAATGTTTCTATTTAAAAAGATTTAGCTGTACCTGGTGTGTTCAGCCTTCAGTGTCTGGTAGTTGGTCCTGTGGTTTTCGCACTTCATCCTTTCATCGATTAGCATCTTCTGCAGCTCCATCTCTGCTCCCCCAACCCAGCAGATAACCCCAGCATGGCTGCTGACCTCCCCATCCCAGGCTCCAGGTTTGGGACGAGAGGGGCAGACTGGCCGAGGGCGGAGGTGGTCATTTCACCTCTGTAGGAAAGAGCGAGGAAGAGACAGGAGGAAGTAAAGAAAAGCTGCTGCGTCGGAAGCCCTCCGTTCTTTAACAGTGAGCAAACACTGCCTGCAATCTATTTAAATGTGGCGAGGTGCTTAAAGAATTAGGCCTGGCTTTGTTGTCAGTTAGTTACCATGGTGGCTTTGAGAAGAGTCCCCCAGCTTCTTGTTAACATCACAACCTCTTAGCAGTCAAGGCGAGGCTATGAATCAATCTCAAGTGATTGGTTGGCGCTACTCTGTGATTGCAACACTACTAAAACCACTTGAGCCACTTAACATTAAGCATCCTATCTCGGAGGTAATTCTGAGACCAATGTCATCCGCTTAGGGGGGGAAATGTACTTAAAATGATATCATTACTGCACAAACTGTAGTTTCATATGCCAAAGTCACAAAGGAAAACCACACGACTGAACTTGATGAGGTTTGTTGATCTCGGGCTCTCTTCAAGTACAACCTAGTAACGTTAATCTAACATTAAACTGGTTACGCAAACACTGGCCTGTGGATCGAGAGTTGTGATTGCGAATTATAATGAGCTTAGATTGCCTGCGGACTTAAGTCTGTAGTTTGTCAAAAGCATCGAGTTGATTCAAATGTCGCGCTCCGAGTCCAGCGACTTAATATGCAGGACACAGGGCTAGCGCTAGCTAACTTTAGTGCATCCGTTATCGGACACTCTCTGCTGGACATTGTCTTTGCAAACCTGAGGCAATTTACAATTAATAAGCAGCGATTCGCATCACGCACTAATGTTTTCTCAATGAAACACAATTCTGAGCGACGCGGCGAGCTAAACAGCTACATGCAAGCTAACTTTAGCAGCAACTTGGCAAGTTAGTTAACCAGTAAACGTTAGCACACCTGAATGTAGCTTGCTACCATGGATAACGTTATGTACAACCCGGCGCCCATTTGAGTTTCAATCAACGAATTACAAACCCATAAAGTATCGTTAAACCACACTGCCATTTACCTTACACACTTGAACAGCTGCCTTCTGAAAGCCACTTACCTCTTGTTCAGTTTGGACTTCTTGCTTCCCTGCTTTCACTTTGCTCTGCTAGCCTGCGCTAGCTAGCTAATCTGTAAACTACAAACTGTGGGATCATGGGAATCTTTTCCCAGCGTGCATTTCTCTCGTTGAAAAAGACTTTCGTACTGGCTTTTGCTGTGTACATATAGTACATAGTTAACATTACTATAGTAACTATCTAACTGATATATCAACTACTCAAGCCTAAACATACCACTCTACATACTGACTGAATAAGTTAAGCATATCATATATATGGAAATCAGCTGAGCAGATGCAAACACTCCGTGGATCAACCTACACCTAATTCAGTAATTTTGAGGTGCCTGAAAAAACTGTTGTTGAACATCATCTTGCTATGCATCAGTCTTGGCTGTCTGAACTGTCCTACTACTGCGATCACTGGGTAACGGTGTCAGTAAGCACCCTTCCTTTACATCCTGTACACAGATTGTACACTATAAGCTACTCAATCATTACATACAGCAAGTACTTCGAAACACTTCTCATTACTCTGCTATGGCCAACTTCAGCATAAAAACGAGTATATGAATGTCATCCAGAGAAAGGAAGTGATAAGCCTATCTCCATTAACAATCAGACAGTTGAACCCACAGACAACAACGGACTGTTTCAACCAGCCCACTGATATCCAGAAACACCGCCAGAAATGATTGTATCCACAAACTCAATGCCCTTTGTTGTTAAATGCTTTGCTGATTTAAACAAACAAGACGCAGAAAGCAAACCATATTGTTCTACAGGTCCCGGTTTACAATTTTATTTGTCCTTAATGAGAACAAATTCACCTCCATTACACAAACACACCGCATCTACAATGATACTGTGGATAGTACATGAGTGAGGTGCATGCAGTGTTGTGAAGTGGATTTCCTCTTGAGGTTTAACCTCATCTTCATTCAAATACAGTGTGCAGCTTAATCAAATACCATACTCGATAAATGCTCTTCTATGGAAGACAGCACAAGCAAGGAATCATTTATTAGCAAGAAAATGAAGAGATGCAGCATCTGAGGTCTGCATACCACGCGTTCCTTCAGCACACCAGTTATAGAGGCCTGTAATAGTCTCAGTCCAGATGTGATGGCGGAGAATACCAATACTTTTTGCCCACTAAATGGTGAGCTAGTCAAACCAAAGACAATAATAGTGTTGACACGCAAATCTTTTCCTGTAATATATCTGCAGCATTTTTGATACCTTTATTCATAAACATTATTAGTAGTGTGTCAAATTTTGATTTAGAACGGAACCTTTTTTACATGTAACTCATTAACAATGTAAGCGATCTAGCGAGAATAATGACAATAAAATAAATGCAAAATTATATACTGATAAATGTGATGCAGAAATGTAATGGACACAAAAAAAAAAAGCTTGTAGTAACTTATGGTTGTGCACAGTGACAAAACCTGTAAACAAAAATCTCAAACCAAACATGAATCATTGTAAATGATCTGAATATAAAACAACAACAGATCATTAGTATTTCATAACTTCACAGAGTCATCAGGATTGTAAAAGTAGTCCACACTAAAAAAAAGATTTTACTTCAGATGTTCACTGGCCCTGAAAACATCTTAACACCTGTGTTTCATTCAAACCATGACATGCTGTATAAAGCAGCAGTGGCTGATAAAACACTCTAAGGCACCTCCAACCTTTTCAGTCTGAAATCACACTTACTTTGGTCTATATCATATTACATATTATTACTTAACAAAACATTTTTAACTAAAATAGCCAAGTGGTCAAGTATCCTGTGAAAATGTATATCTATTTACAAGAGAGTAATTAAATACATAAAAAAATAAATTTAAAAAAGCTATCTAGGAAATATACATCCTCTGAGTGGCGTACATTGGCAACTTCCTGAGTGCACACGTTCAGCTGGAGCTGCAAGAAAAAGGAAATGTAATAAAAAATAAATTCAATTTTACAAAGTGAAAATTAACAGAAATTTTAGGTTAGGAGGTTACTCTGGTTACCTGTCAGCCGCATCCTGGTCTGCCTCTGCACTGTTGTCTGCTTTGGATGCAGGTGTACGCAACTTAGTGGGATCTAAAAAGACAGAAACAGGCAGCTGGATCAAGGTTGAATCTGTCCACAAAATCTTATTACATGCGAAAAAACTCAAGCCCCCCTGCCTTGAATCCAGCGGATCTGCGTCGCGGGGCCGTAGCCCTGTTCATTCTTTGCAGCTATGCGGAACACGACAGCCGGACGGTTGGAGGCGGAGCAGTCAATGTGGGCATTGTCCATGTGGGTGGAGCTGACCGAGCAGGACATCTTAGTGCCGCGGTAGATCCTGATGAATGCCATCTGACCCGGACGCTCTGAGCTTGTGGAGCGGCTCTTCCTCACTGCCATGTACATGGAGTACTCCAGGATCCGGCCTGATGGAGAGGAGGGAGCCTCCCACGTGATGTGGATCGAATCGTTGGCCTGTGCAGGAAAAAAATAAAAAATAAAAATATTGTAGCAGCTCTTAATTTATTTTATCAACAGTTTTTCAGTCTGAAAACCGTCTACAGTAACTGATATCCCCCATGTTGCCCACATGACTGATCACATGTCCTTGTTTTCTGTGTCTGAATATCATGGATATGTCACCTTGGTAATTTTGACAGCAGAGGGAGCTCCAGGGAAACCAGGTTGGCAGGTCTTGAACTCGCTGACCGGGCTGAAGTCTCCCTGGCCAAAGAAGTTGAAACCTGCAACTCTAAACCTGTAGGTCTGACCTGGAGCCAGCTCCTGCTTTTCTCTGCCCTGGTAGTCCTGAGGCCCTGGCAGCTTCCTCTGGAGGAAGAACAAGAACAATGAGCATAGGACACATCCTCATGGATAATTAATGTCCGAGATGTGATAAACAACTGTAAAATCAGTCTTTTGTGAATAAAATAGTTGGGAAGTGGGAAGTTGTAGTTTTTTTTTTACCTCTTTAGTATTTGGGGGCCGGCTGCTGATGGCTGCAGTCGCCTGGTCACTGTCAGCAGGCAGGAAGTAATGTCTGACCTCAGAAAAGAGTGTTTTGAACACACCAACATCAAACCACACTCCTTCATCAGGATTCTGGAGGTAAAGAGTTTACAGTCTTAGTTCAGACCAGGCTGAGTGAAAGAGCCAATAATTACTGTACAGAAGTATCTGACCTGGTGTGTGGGGGCGTACAAATCCGTTGTCTTGTCAGCTGAAACAGGCTGTTTCTCTGTAAAAGCAAAGCAACGTCCGCAGTGAGCTTCACCTGTTTGAAAAACCTCAACCTGCTGCAGTCTGGTCCATCGCTGACATTAGAGTGGGAGCATCATCGTTACCTGGCTGGTGCTGAGTTGAGCTGCTGACCTCTGTCGTTGATGTCTCCTGTCCAGCTATTACAACCAACACACAGATAGAGTGTGCAAAAGCTCAGGATCAAAGCTGAGAAACTGCAGTAACACTAAAGCTAGAGTGAGAAAACAAAACTGTCTAAAGTTTTAAATGATGAGGGCAGTTCAGACTGAACAGTTGCTCTGGTGAAAAAGCTTGCTGCGTGTTTTTGTTTCCCTAACGCTGTGTGTGTTTGTTACTTCAAACATACCTTCACATTTTATTGTCCCAAACAATTACATTTGGGGAAGCACAACAATCATCGTGGGTAATCCAGCATTTAATAACTTAGCTATTAGCCTTACCGCAGCACTTTGTGTCCGAGTCCTTCTCTGTCCCTCTCCCGGTAGTCCTCGCTCCTTCTGCTCGGGTCTCTGCTGAGCAACTGGACGACTTTACTGCAGATTCCTGCTGTGCTGAAGCATCCTGAAATTCAGGGAGGAAATGACTGTTGTGCGAAATAGAGAGCATAGCTAGAGTAAGGCACAAACAAAACAGTGCATAAAAGCACCAAACTACAGTGAATTTTTTACTGTTTTAACTGTCAGGGTTCCTTCACAATGTATTATTATGAAGTTCCTTTACGCAACGTCATGTGTTTACTGCAGTGGCAAGTTTTTGCTTTCTTGTGTCATTTTAGACGATAATATCTGCTTATTGTCTAAACTGTATTAAACTAAAATACTGTAAGAGCAGAGGTCTCAGAACAGAGACATTCTCACGCGCCTCTTTGTCTGTACTACAATTAAAGTTCAAATGGCTTCATTCCCACGTGAAAAAAGGAACCCAATCTACAGGAACAAAATGCAGCAGTGTTTGGTGAAACCATTCTAAACTCAGTGTGAATGCACCGTGAAACAAACACCTTCGGTGTGTTCAAATTCAGTCTACAATACCAGCACTGACACCTCTGTGGTCGGTCTGCTGGTCTCTTCAGGTAATGATAATACAGGGTAGTGTTGTTACATGTAATAGTCTTCATTTACAGATTTAATTAAGCAACTCACATCTACCCGAGCTGATGCTTCCGCGTTTTCATTTGTGGTTCCTTCAATTTCAGGCTGAAGGGACTGGACACCTGAGAAAGGAGGAAGATGTCAGTGTAGTGCCAGAAATGTCTTTAGAATGTTTCCCACCTGCTACAGTTTTTTTTTTTTCGTTGTTTAGTAACCTCTATTTTTTTTCTTCAGCGTGTTTGTTGCCCACTGCCCGCACTGAGGAGACAACTGAATATGTGGCCCCTCCTTACCTGAATTGTCTTCAACCTTCCCCTCAGGTCCATCTGTTCTCATTGGATGGGCGGCTGGTGGATCACCAGCTGCAGTGCTGGGAGGACAGGCAGGCTGGATCTGAAGGATGTAGCAGTCGGCCGCCGCTAGGGGGCGCCACGCCACATGAAGCATGCTGACTGTGGATTTGATGAGTAACACTGCCTCAGGGGTGGCAGGTCGGTCTGAGGACAAAATACAGAATATTACATTGTGTAACTGTATTAATGAAATGTCACCAAAGTCTAACAATTGAAATCAACAAGACATCAGTACAGCCTCTCTAAACAGCCTGCTCTCAGATCTCACCTGTCTCCAGGTACCAGAGGTCCTTGCAGCAGACTTGGTAGTTCCAGCTCTTACGGTATCCGTCACGGCCGCTCCAAATGTAAAGCCTGGACCCGACAGTGGCAGCACAGTGGCCGGCCCTGGCTCTGGGCCTACAGGCATACGGGTCGTCACTGTGGGGTCCCTGGCTCTGCAGCTGGGACTCGATGTCATCCTGCTGCTCTGGGCCCAGGTTGTGCCAGCTCATAGTGTCTGTGACGGTAAAACAGGGCAGCAGTGATTTTGCTGGCCTCTGAATGATGCAGAAAGCCCGACACCCTGCGTGAAAATTCTGACAAGAGTGTGGAATATTCTAAGGAGAAATGTACTGACCTAAGTTGAGTACACATAAGGAGTTGGTGCAGATCCATTCAGTTCCTAAAGCAATGTGTTTGTCTGACTCTGGAACCGGAATCCAGCCACCAAAAACATACATCCTGCAAAAAGAGGGACACGCTGCGGTTTGTCAAAGGCTAGCTCGTGTGTCACATACAGACTAAACTAAACAGAGATATACCACAGACAATAAAGGATCTCATACTTGTTTCCAATGACATTGGCAGAGTGAAGGCTTCTGGGAAGTGGGTTGGAACCCCTGGTTTCAGGAGTCGACCAAACCATTGTGTCTAAAGAAAGGAAAGGGATCATGACAAGGTAGTTTGAATATTCTGGAGTTGTTTCTCACTGCCATTTAGAAGAGTAAACACGCAGATACCTTGTATTTAATTCAAGGTACAGAAACAACTTAACAATGCAAAAAGCTTTATTTTCTAAAATTTGCACATAGTCAAAATAATCTGTCAAAAAAAGACGTCCTACCGAGGTCAAGCTGCCAGAGGTCGTCCAACCGGCATCCTTGCATCCCTCCAAAGATATAGAGCTTCGGGGAGCCGAGGCCAGAGTAGGCAACTGAGGTGTGGGACTCTCGTGCTGAGGGACCGACCCCCTTCGTCTCTGGGATGTTCCAGCCTCTTGCCCCAGATCCTGACTGCAACTCCAGCTCATACAAGTCACCCATGTATCTAAGATGGTAAAGAGTCAAACTCATTTATGCAACTCTCTCTTAGAGAGAGGCTATATATCATAATTAAGCTTGTTCTGGACTCAACTCTAATGACTCCCAATTGGTCCGGAATCAGCAGTCAGCCACTGTGATTGGCTCAAGGTTCATTAGAGCCATTCAAAGGTTATACTTTCAACTAGAGCTGAAAGCTAATTAATCAGAAACTATTTTGATCATAGTTTCAATACTTTTGCAAGGAAAAAGTGCCAAGTTCTTGTCAGCGTTCACAGACAATAGAAAGCATCCTGACTGAAAACATCACCAACTGGCATAGGATGTGCACCGCCCAGGACCGGAGGGCTCTGCAGTGGGTGTTTAAAACCACTCTAAAGATCATCGCTACCCATCAGTGATATCTGTGAGGTGCCGGCACACAGCCCACAGGATACTAGGAGACAGCACCCACCTGTTACGTGCCAAGCTGGCCATGGGTGTTTTCTTCTTGCTACTCATTGCTTGAAATCTGAAGCTGGCCAATCACCATGCCAAGCCTTCAATAAAAGAAACCCGCCTGAAGAGTTCACTTTCTCTGACTCAACTGCTGCATTCTGTGAGAGCACACTTTATAAAGAAACAGTATATGGAGCGAGGTTTAGGGAATTAGGTACGTTTGGGGTACCCTTTACAATTTTCTTCACTCATGTAGTTCACTTTGTCTAGAAACACTAGGTTTAGTGTTGGTGCCACCTTTGTATGTCTTGGCTAATTTATTTTTTGTAGATAAGACTGGTGTGTGGTCAGTATAACTTAAATAAAATAAAACACCTTTAATTGTCACTACCACTTGGTATCAATTTCTTTGACTGTTGTCATTTAAAGGGACGTTTTTTAAAGGGATGCAACACCATCCCAGCCAAAGCCTGTTTACCCTGCTGCCATCTGGCAAGAGATACAGAAGTACCTGCTGTCGTACCACCAGACTACAAAGCAGCTTCTACCCCCAGGTCATCTCCACCTCATACTCTGCACTCCACCATAAATAAATGACATGGAGTTTCACATTACCTTGTTAAAATGTATAACGGTGTAAATTATTTTTATTATATTGTAATATTAAATATCTGTATATACTTTGTTCAATGTGTGGCACGAAGGGGGCTACAACTTCAAGCCCTGTGTTGACGAATGACAAGTGTACCTTGAAACTTTTAAAGATAAATCAATCAATTGGGTAAAAATATCAGAAGACTAATTGATAATGATAATAACCACTAGATGAAGCCTACAAAAACAAGTCTGCCCTGTCTTAATGTGTCTCTGAAAAGCCAAGGGTATAAAACTCCATGTAGGGTGTTTATTGTGTGTACTTGCCCACACAGTACCTTGGTACATTGCCATTGGGGTCTTCACTATCATTGGCCAGCCCTCCAAACAGGTAACACTTGTTACCCACAAGGGTGAAGCTATGTCCAATCCGGGGGCAGGGAGGACAGCCATTCCTGGGTGCTCTGGGCTTCAGCTTCTTCCACAGCCAGCGACTAGCCTGAGTCACACAGGACCAAAGTCACGCTTTGACAATGTTTTAGCAACGGGGTTACAATAGACCACTGAAGAAATGTGCCGGCATTACCTGAAGTTCATAGAGGCTGTTGGTGTATTTCCCAAACTCAACCATACCGCCAAAGACCAGTATTCGAGTGCCTTCACAGACGAAACCATGGGCAGCACAGCCAGGTGGGATGTCACCCCTCACCGCAGGCAGAAACCACTGCCTTGAGACTGGAAGAATGGCCAAATGTCAGCCATTGCATTACACAGAACATCCTGGTGAATGCTGCCATTTAGACATTTTACACACCCTGTAGGAAAACAACTTTTTTTCCCCTAGTAGCTAGATAAATTAGACAAAAAAAAACAGTACACTTTATGGTCTTTATTGCACAATGCACAACATACAATTTAAACAGTATCTTGGACAGCAACCACTTCAAACTTACAAGTGTACTACTAGTGCTCATTCACGCCACTACAATGATGACTAACCTACATAGTGAGAATGTTTAAAGCTATATTCTACTGTGTGATTTAGTGCCACTTTTTCATTAAAGTTCAATTGTTCAGATAACGGTGCACTGATCGTACACATGACATGGCGCCCCTCCTACCAGTCTGTTTAAAGCTAGCAATCCAGCTGAAATACCGCTATCCAGCTCAAGATAGTGGCTAGTTTATAACAACTAACCCATGCTGCAATCAAAATTATGCTAAAAATAAACAACAAACGCTCATGCAAAGGTTGTGTTGGCTTAATGAGTGTTTTTGACTCTGGGCATGCTAAAAACATTAGCCGCTAACCTGCTAGTTAGCGTCCGGCTAACGTTAGCTTACCAGTGTTGTAAACATGGAGGTACTCCGCTATCCCTTCGTTTCCACCACCGAAAACAATAATCAGCTCCCGTATTGCAGCAGCGCGGTGTCCGTGTCTGGACCGCGGTATCACCCCTGTAACGGAATGGACTTTTCTCCATTGCGGCTCCTCGGTAGCTGTGGTCATTTTCCCGATAGGGAGCCCCAAGTTTGGCGCTGTTGACGTTTCAAAGGCGTGGGCGGGGCTAAGTTGGCATCAGGAAATTCAACCAGAGAGGTGAAAACAGAGTTTCACTCTGCCTCGTTTATCGGGGATCAAGATTCGAGGTAACGGAATGGAAATGCATACTACTTATAGCTAATTAAAAAACTGCGGGGAAAAAGACAAATAACTGTTTCCACTGATTACACTTGTCTGTTCTTGATGACAACCAGTCAACAGCTGAAGGGACGCTCCACATACACAAAGTTCAGTTTACAGTATGTGTAGGCATTACTGTTCAGACAGTTGTAGCCTCTGTCTCCTGTTGCTCTGGAGGCAGCTTTCTAATATCTGGAATGAAAAAAACTCTCAAGTTATCATCAGGGGTATCGCAGCTTGGGCTTTCTCAAGCTAAGTCAGGCGATTAAGTTGTATTGCTGAGTGCTGAGTGAAAGTAGGGATATCAGTTGTGTGCTGCAGACTTTGACCATTCTATTTTTCAACTGTCTCGTGTGGGTCGCCTGACTAAATCGCTACAGTACTCGTTTAACGATGCAACGTTTTCCTGTCAACTACAAGATGTTAAGGAAACATTAAATGTTGGCATGGCCTTTGAGCTCAAATTGACATGCACAAATACACAGGGAAGTCCATAGTGCAGTTGGTTGAAACAGATCTGTCTGATTTGTGTCAAGCACACATCCCATCTCAGAACCTCTGTGTTATTTCATTGTCAAAATGGTTCTCTAACAGACCCAGTTCATTTCTATGCTATTTTTTTCTGGTAACCAATAACTTCATTTGTCCACATGGGCCACATTTAGGCCTAAACTATAGGTTATAGTCCATTTCCGTGTAAACTGTCTGCAGTACTGAGCCTCTCTATCCCTCTTAACCTAACTAGAATATTTATCCACCTGTATGAGGTAGCATAAGTTAATTCCAGTATGAATGCATAGGCTGCAAAGAGAAACCCAAGAGAAGTAAAACATAAAGTAAAAACAAAGAAAAAGGGAAGTACAACAAAATACAAGAAACAGATAAACAGAAAATAACAGATCAGATCAGTTAACCCCTTCAGAAATGCATTCATTTTCTTTGGTTTAGCTAAGACATGCTGCACTTAATCAAAGTGTGTGTGTGTGTGTGTGTGTGTGTGTGTGTGTGTGTGTGTGTGTGTGTGTGTGAGTGTGTGTGTGTGTGTGAGTAGGAACAGGAACCCCTCCTGGTGAGCAGGAAGAGGGTGACGTCAGTTGTCAGTTGGCTCAGCGGAATTAAGCTATAATATTGTGTGTGTGTGTGTGTGTGTGTGTGTGTGTGTGTGTGTGTGTGTGAGTCAGCCTCCAGGCTATTTCAGTGCTTGAGTTGAGGTGTGCACAGGTCTTGGCTTGGGCCCGTGTGTGCGTGAGAGAGTGATTTGGGGGGGCATGACAAGAAGTGAGTTTGTGTGTGTGTTTACACAGACGGGAATACTGCGCCAAAGGAAGTGCGCCGGTTCTCCGTCTGCGCGTCCCGACTTCCTGCTCTGAGGCAGGAGAGAGAAAAGCTGCGGATCCGCTTTCAGACAGCCGCAGCATGGAGCCCCAACACAACACACACGCACCGCTTTAAGACACAAACACACACATCACGCAGGGCAGACGGACAGAGGAGCAGCGGCCGTCCAAAGCAGGGTAGGTAAAAGTTTAAGTTTCCTTCTACTTTAACTTTCTATACTTATTGGTTCGTGCATAACAGAGAGACAGAAACATACTTAAATTAGTTGTTGTTATATCTGATGAAACCTGATCAGGCTCAGATGTTCAGTGTCAACTTGAAAACCACATTGAAGCCGCGCATAAAGTGTTAAAGCTGTGCGTAAAAAGCGTTAAAGCTGTGCGTAAAAAGGTGTTAAATCCTTGTGCGTTTTCCGCTTTGGTACAGACACACATGCTTAAAGTTGCCTCAGCTTGTTTGGCTACATTTAATAAAAAGAAAGAAAGAAAATAGAAAGAAAGAAAATATGTTAGTGTACCGGCTGCTGTGGAAAGAATTAACCGTGGCTCCTTTAAAAATCTAGTAGTAGACTTTCTGGTTTGTCTGGACCTCGCAGACTTAATTGCCATGCGCTTCCGGATTGAAGCTGGCAGCAGACAACATCTTGAAAATGAGTCACTGGTGCAAAACAAAGAAGCATTTGAGTTCCAGCAGAACACACAAGATGGATTGCTTCACACCCACACCCACACACACACACACACACACACACACATTTCCAAAAATAAGAAATAACTAGCCCAGAATAAATGGTTATAGAATCTTGTGCAGGTTTTTGGTTTGGTTTGTTTCAGTGGGATTAAAGATCTTAAGTGTCCAAAGTATGCTGGCATGTATATCCGATAGATTGACATTTGAGGGAGGAGTGTTCATGTATGGGTCATGTATACCTTGTTAACTGTCGAACTCTAAGCTATAACACCGAGGGTCAGTACGGGACTGCTTTTATTCTGAAATTCCATAAATCAACATTTCCTCCTGATTTGTTTCTCTCCAGCCCAGACTTGTTAAGAGTGAAACGCCAGAGGGTAAACATAGAACAAACAGAGTCTCACATCAGGACATAGATGTATTCTCCATATGTTGTTGTGGCTCTTCGAATGCGTGGGTGTGTGTTGAGATGTTGCTCTTAAAAACAAGTGTTACCAATAAGGGGAATAAAGCATGGGAGTGTGTGTGCACGTGCACGTTTATTTCCTGGTGGTACCCAGTTACAGGACATCCTACCTCCCAGCGAGGGAAGGCCATTCTCCGGGAAGACGCCCCTGCAGCTGAATGACAGGAAGTCCTGGTTTAGACAGGCAGACAGCACTACAGTTCTTCCATCACTTAACACACACACCCATGCAGGAAAAAGGAAGCGAGGATATGTGTTTCTGTGTGTTCATGGTGATGGGTCATTGTTAGCACCACATACACTTTCCTGTCTATGCTGGAGGGTTTCCTTTTAGGACAGTGAAAGAAAGACATGCATACTGTATGTTTAAACTGAATTCATGGTTGATTATTTTGTAAGTACTGAACCATATGTTGTTATTATGAAAGAACGTAGAGTAACCATCATCATTATGGTGGCAATGTTTCAGGTCCTCTGCTATTGAGGCAGATGTGGTTGACATGGAGATTTCTGTTTCTGCAAAGTCTGCTGTCAAATTGTCATGGTTGCAAATTAAATCTGGCTTTAATGAGTTATTTGTCATTTCCTTTTGGCAGTAAGTAGTTTTGTATTTCCTGCTAATAAGGCACCATATTAATAAATAGCTTTGAGAGAGGGGGAAAAAAGGAGATGGAGAAAAAGACAGGCGGACGCTCACAGACAGTCAGTGGTTTCCAGGTAAACACGTCAGTTAGAACCGTGCTTGTCTTGGCAGAAGGTCACTGACCACATCCTGCTTTATCACCATAGAAACATTCAAAAGCCAACCAATGCCTGGCCCTCTTTTGCTCTCTTTTTCGGTCTGCAACACACACACAAACACAAGAGACTGTACACACAGACGTAAAAGTGAAGTAAAATGAAATCAGATATTTATAAGTGTAGTGAGAGAACCATTAGCAGGAAAACCATTTCTTTTGTCATGGAAAAAAACCCACAACTTTATACATTTTTTGTAAGTAATGGGGATTTCAAGCATATTCAACCTTTACTACATCCCTGAGCATAATATCATTAAACCATGATAAGTATGCAGATGAGTTGATTTAGGTATTCCACAGGTGTTCAATGGGCTTGAGATCAGGTGACAGTGAAGGCTATATCATGGGATTCACATATCTTTCAATGAATCAAACCATGCAGCGGTCCCATGTGCCCTGAATGAAAGCATCTGCAGTTCCTGTGTTTGTTTCTTTTTTCTCTCTTTCATATGGACATAAATAAAACACGCCCTTTCCAAGATTTAAATGTACTGAAGAGGTGAAGTAAGGCCACATGGGCTGTGTCCCTATCTAGGTTGTTCTATGTAGAGGACTATGGTGAGCTTTTGGACACTTCCCGGGTCATTATCTCTGTGCCGTTACTTACATCATTGTTGTGGCAATGTTGGCTGGTGGGCCATTTTTCTATCAGTGCAATGCATGATGGTATTAGTGACCATTGGTTGTACACTACTTTTTACAACGCATTCACTCATACTTGAGTCCACTATATAGGGTATAATATTTCTCAATATACATTCGGACTGCACTGCAAGATGGTAAACACACTATTTAGTGAGCAGTGAGTGATTTCTGACAAAGCCATAGATAATTTCAATTCTAAGCATCAATGGTGGATTCACTCAGACTTGTATTTAGGCTACTACTACCGCCATCCTGCTTTGGAAGGCAGCCAAAGTGTGTGAGTCCACCAAACCAAAGAGCATGAGTTCATACGTGTGAGGTATAGCTTGGATTAAGTATTATAGATTACTGTTCAGAACCACAGTGTTCAGAAACTTACGGCAAAGTGGACTGTCCTGTAGAGCCTGTGTCGTTTACATGTTTGTGTTGTTGTCCGTTTGTGGGCTCAGTGTTTGGAACAGGGAATTCCCAGTCAGAGAAAGGTGGGTGGTGGTGGGCATGGTCAGCACTGTTGGGCTTGTGGTTGTTAGTGGTGTTTGCATTAGCGGAAGGATCGCGGTACACATTTGTGTTGACATTAATAATTCCTCCTCCTCCTTGCTGCCCACCTATCCTCCTTCTTTCTTTCCTTCCTACTTTTTATGTATTTTTTTATGTCTGGCTTTTTTATTCCCTAAATAGTCAAAGAATGTGTGAAATTGTTTCCATATTAAGGGCATTGAGTGACTAGTTATTTTTATCATTTCTTTCACTTTCCAGTGACTTGATTTCCTGAGCTGAATGTCATCACCCTAATCTGTGATGATTCATGGACACAACTGAAATGTGTGACCTTTAACAGTGAACTTTAAAGCTGCACAAATCAATATATTTATAACAATGGATCAAAGAACTATGAGTACTGTGACAGGTGTCACTCACATTGATATCACAAATAATTATCACTTAAGTCTGCAGTCCCCCTCAGCCAACAGAGCGTTTTAGCATCTTTTAGCTCATTGTTTTGTTTTGTTACAGCCCGCAACGTTATAGTTTTGGTTCAGCCTCACTGCTCTCGTCAAACCAACACCTGCTTCTGATCCTCTTTCCTGAGGATAAATGTGTTGGAACCCTCAGCTTTCACCAGAAACTCACAAAGTCTCCTCTGGAAGAACATTGCCCTCTTCCTGATTTGTGCTAGAAAGCAATCCATCTTGTTTGCAAAAAAAGAAAAGATGTTTGAATGGCTTCTTGATAGCACAAAGTAGCCTAATATGTGGTCGTTGAATTGACTTTAATAAGATTCCCTCTGTAGATCGCCTGTGTCTCTGGTTTCACCCCATCATGGAGAGTTCCATCACGCTCTGGCAGTTCCTGCTGCAGCTGCTGCTCGACCAAAGCCACAAGCATCTCATTTGCTGGACGTCCAACGACGGCGAGTTCAAGCTGCTTAAGTCCGAAGAAGTGGCCAAGCTGTGGGGGCTGCGCAAGAACAAGACCAACATGAACTATGACAAGCTGAGCAGAGCCCTGCGCTACTACTACGACAAAGTAGGCAACAAGTACATTTAAAAGCAATTGAAATACAATGTCTAGGTGGCTTGATGATGTTTTATGTCGTTATAGCTATGGAGACCAAAAGTGTTAAAAATGGGTTTAAAATAAGAAATCATGTTCGTTCCCTCCGCAGAACATCATTAAGAAGGTGATTGGTCAGAAGTTTGTCTACAAGTTTGTGTCATTCCCTGACATCGTGAAGATGGACCCTGCGGCGGTGGAGACGGGCCGCAGCAGTGAGGAAAGTGGGGGTGCAATGTCAGAGCCTGAGGCTGACGACGAGGATGGGGTTCAGAGAAACCAGTACCTCCACTCCAGCCTGTACTCCTCCTTCACCGTCAGCTCCCTGCAGCACTCCTTAGAACCACACCGGCCCATCAAGACGGAGCCCAGAGCCGAACGCCATGACGACAGCTCCTCTGTCATCCGATACATAACCAACCGTGGCCACTCCTCCCTCCCCTCCACCCCACCCCCATCCTCAACGGAGGCCTCCCATTCCTCCAGACCGTCTCCTCAGCAGGAGCGCTCTTTGTCCTGCTCCTCCTCCCCGCCACAAAGCCCCGCCTGTACACTATGGAGGGGGCGGAGCCAGAGCCCAGACACTGAAGAGTTAGAGCAGAGCGCTCAACCTCTAAACCTGTCATCTGGTCAGAGGGAGAGAGTGAGGTCACATAGCACGACAACGCCAGAGAGAAGGGGACTGGCCAATATTGCACCCTTGAAATGCCGAAAACCCAAAGGCTTGGAAATCTCCGCCTCCTCTCTCCTCCTTACAGGAAGTGACCTCGTTTCCATTGCTCTCAACAGCCCTGCTTTGCCTTCAGGGTCCCTGACTCCTGCCTTCCTCACTGCACAGGTACACCATGACACATAACACATGTATTACCAACATTTAACTCACACATGATCCCTTCTACTTCTGCAGGTTGTTTTAGGTGAGGAAAGAGAAGGCGAGAGAGGGAAAGAGGAGAAGAAAAAGAAGAACCAGGCATTTTGGGGTTGAAGAAAGTTAAGCTTGTAGACAGGGAGGAGATGGAAAGAGGTGAGCGGAAAGAGGGGAGGAGGCAAGGGAGGGAGGGAGGGAGGAGGTTCATAAGTGAAGCCATATGTTCCTGAAGCTCCTGAGTCACTGGCAACAGCACACTGACCAAACCAGGACGGTCTGACAACATTAAGGCACTCAGCTGATGCTTTCATCCAGACTGAGCAATGATAGGCTGCTGAGTGTCTAGTACATAATTGATGGAAAAAGTGTATGTTGAAGCCTTCACTCATCACTGACCATTTTCTTTAATACAGTGTCGGCAAGAAACACCTGAGCTGCTGGTTAAGTATCCACATCCCCTCCTCCACCACAGGAACTTTTCAGAATTTAGAAACCTACCCCCAGGACATATGTGGTTCTGATTTTAGTTCCTACATTATAAAACAGTCCCCGCAGATGTCTCACAAACCAGTTGATGGTGGTTGCTGGTCAAGCTATGAGCTTTATCTGGGAAAATGGCAAAAGCCATCTGGCAGCATGACAGCACAGCATGAGCTGGTCTTGAAAAAGTGGAGCTGACTTTCTTTCTTTTGACTTTTAGCAGAATTATGCATATTGCATTATGTTAAGCATCGTTAAAAGAAAAATTTAAAACAATAAACTCAGTGGTCACTGCAAACGCACTGAAGAAATTTTTGCTCCTGAACGTTTTAGTTCCTGGCAGCAGAGTCTTGTGTTCCCATGACAGAACCAGAAAGAAAAAATCAAACTGGCCTTAGTGAAATATGAAGCGACAGAAGAAAGACGAGACAGAAGAAAATAGATGTCATGAATTCTGTATGAGCGGAGCTTCCTGACCTGCATGGAGTCAGTCTGCCAAGTCAGTCTGTCTGGTAGACGAGAGTTCACTAGAGGGCAGACTTGGCTTTGAGCTCTGGGTGAAACTGAATGACATGACAACTTCACCACAGACTGTGGACAGCTCTGTGGACTCACTGCCAGAATAAACACCTTCATTTCCATCTTGGTGTATTTATCCTCTGACATTTTCATTTTGGGTTCTGTCAATATAGACTCCGTCTGGTCTGCTGCTCACTCCCAGTCCTCTGCTCTCCAATATCCATTTCTGGTCCAGCCTAAGTCCAGTGGGACCCCTCAGCCCTGCCCAGCTGCAGAGCCATGCCCCCCTCTTTCAGGTAAACCCGCCACATTTCTTGTACTGCTGTGTATGTGAGGAATTCGAGCGACTGCATGTTGTCCAAGCCATCATAGAGAGGGGGTAGCCACGGTAATCGTTCAGTTGGATTTAATGACACACCCACTTTCAGACAATCTTTCCTTAAAGGATGGAGATTCATCGGTTTGTACACGGAATGGAACGGAAAATGACGGAACGAGTTGTGTGCACAACTTCCTCAAGTTAGTACACACTGCTGAACAGTCTGACAAGCACTTTCCACCAATAAGATAAGATCATCCGAACCTGAAACCAACCCTAACCTCCTGATTTTAAACCAGACTGTTTACACACAAGAGGGAGGGAAAATGCCTGTTCCAACTTTGTCTCTATAACGCTGGAAAACATTATTTTGGGGGGGATAATTACCTTAATTGTGTTCTCAAATAAGCTACAGTTTCAGTTCTGACAGTTCTGTGTAAAAAAGGACACACTGACCTTAATTTTTTGTACCAGCCTTTCAGAGAAATCACTGGCTCTAGTTGTTATGGATACGAAATCCATAACTACAGGATCTTTGATTTTACCTTGACAGTTGTAGTGTGTGTGTGTGTGTGTGTGTGTGTGTGTGTGTGTGTGTGTGTGTGTGTGTGTGTGCGCACAGTGTGCCAGGGTTTCAAAATAAGCCACAGATGTTTCCGTTCTAGTGTGGACAAGAAGAGGGGGCGACTTCCTGTTGGCTACAGAGAAAGACAGAGGGTTGGTTGGTGAGAAGCCCCTCCCTCCCATGTCAACTCACTGACATGAAAACACACAACCCCAAAATAAACTGTTAAGCATTAAGTTTAATGTCCCCACGGTGCAATTTAAGCAAGCGCACACTTACCTCCTGTGATGCAGCATTCACTGCCCAAATCTTACTGCACAAATAATTCCGTGAAAGGACAGACTAACCTTGACATTACTGTTAACATTATGGATGTGACATCATTACTGTAGTAATGATAGTGGAACTACTGTATATCAATCTTCTAACATGGGGGTATGCCTGGTTCCCACATGTTAGAAAAAAACACAGCTTGAATGACCTTTTTATGAATAAAACAAGATAATGTCTATTTGCGAACAATATGATGATGTGCCTTCTGGGTGCCCTTCCAGTGAAGAAAATGTGACGTAGTACCCTCTAGGTTGCCCCAGAGTTCGAGAAAACGTGATGCACTGCCCTAATTGGCACCCTTCTGGTAGAAAAAGTGTCATGCAGCGCCCTCCAAGGTGCCCCTTTGTGTGAGGAAATGTGGTAAAGTGCCCTCCAAGGTGCCTCTGTGTGCAAAACACACGATGAAGGGCCCTCAGACGGACAGATTACCCAGGGACCTAAATTCCCAAAGGGGCCCATTGAACATTGTGATACCTAGTGCCAAAGTTACGCTGCACAGAAGTTTTGTTTCTGTTGATGCTCGGAATACCAATCGTCTATGTTGGCTTTCGTATTTTCGATAAATACACAATAAATGCCCCACCGCATGAAGCTGGTGCCCTTTTTGTTTGTTTTCACCACTGCCCCTCAGACAGCTTTCCTCCGCCACTGCTTTGTCTAAATATTTTACTAGTTTTAATCACTCAAAGACTACAAGGGGAAATTTCAGGTGCCAGGTCAAGCTTTCCAAAATAAAAATTCTGGCTTCTGCTCACACATGACTCTGATGAAGCAGAATGTTTGGGGGTTAAATCTTAACTGTTATCAACCTCTAACTGTCCCCCTACAGTTCCCCACACTGCTGAATGGGCCCATCCCGGTGCCTTTACCTTGTGTGGACGCTCCCTCCCCTCTGCTGCTCTCCTCCAGCTCCCACAAGTCCTGATGCCAGGCTGAGCTGGGCCAGATCAGCACAGATAAGGACCAAGCCAATCAGCCTTAAACTCTGATGATGAACTGCACAGGAGTCGGACTTTGTCTGAATCCAATTACATTTTAATCTGAATCCTGTTCCTTTGTATTTATTAGAAGAAACAGGAGCTTCACTCTGAAGCTTTGCTCTCTGAGAAGAGTGTTCAACTGCTCAACTTCTTGATATTTGTGTTTGGTGTTTCCTCTTTTCAAGATGTTTTTTTTTTCTCCTTCAGTGAAAAATACAGACTGGTTGCAAAGTTATTTCTATTCCCTCCCCCCCTCCGACTGATGTCAATATCCACATCACTGACTCAAACAGTGGAAATCTGGGGGAAATCCATGTCAGGAATTATGAGAGAACATGACCTCACTAAGCCAGGAGGTTTTGTAAGTGTAATCTTTTTCTGTACGTCTGTACGCTTAATTTAAAGCTACAGCCAGGAGACGGTTGGCTTATCTTAGCTTAAATACAGGAAATGGGGAAACAGCCAGCCTTGCTCTGTCAAGAGGTAACAGAATCTAACTACCTTTTGGTATGAAAACCAAACTATAAAAATGTGTAGTTTTATGGGGGACTAAAGGTTGCCTGGCAAACTCACAGTAATGACAAGACTCCAGGAAGTTACTGCTCCCATAATAACAGTGAAACCCCTTCAACACCAAAGTGTTTGTACTGATTAAACACAACACAGATTATATGTTTATTAGTGTTTATTTTACTTTATAGCCAGACTGGCTGTTTCCAGTTTTTAACTAAGCTACCAGCTGTAGCTACATATTGAAACTGACAAACATGAGAGTGGCATCAATCTTCTCATCTTACTCTCTGCAAAAAAAGCATTTCCCAAAATGTCAAATTGTTGCTTTGAATTTGATCACAAAATGGGAATAACTGGATGATTAAATGCTATAAGCCAAGTACGACGAATGACACATGGCAAGTGTCTCACCTTTTTTTTTTCTCTACACTTAAGAAACATTTGTCGAGACTGTGGCCTTTTGAGATGAATCCCACACTGACCCCTAGCAGTGCACCTGCTAGCCAGCATGCTAAAACACTCTGGAAGTCTTCATTTTGTCTTCTGTATTGCTTTTACTTGACGCTGTGAACTTTTTTGAATCTTTGTATAGTTTCATGCTTTTTTTAAATGCACTGTTCTTTTAAGCCTTGTACCAGCTGTGCCTTCAATATCATAAGAATTTTATAAATGTATTAAGCTTTAAAACCAGGTTTTAATAGACATTCCAGGTCAAAATTGCACAAAAACCTTTTTTTGTAAAATGGCTCCTAGTTATTTTTATAGAGAAATTGATGGAAATGTATTCTCTGTGATTTGCTTGTGTTTCGCTGTTTTGTTGAGAAAATTGTTGTTTTTTGGAATAAAATGAATTACTTTCCAGAATTACTACATTCCTTTTAATTGGTAATACATACTCTTTTCACCATTCGAAGAATGACTGCTGCACAGACTGTTTATGAAACAGATTAAATTTACTTCCGATGGTTATGAGAAATAAATAGTTCCAGTAAAAAGAGTCACACACCAACTGTTGACCGGCAGCTCAGTGTTTCAAAGGTCGAATTCACAACAAAGCAGGCCTTCCATGCATCAGGCACACAGACACACGTACACACTTACGCGTTCAAACATGTTCACATAAATTCAGGCCTTTCATACACTTGAAAAAGTTTTACAATGATAAATATTTATCCGTTGTAGAAATCTCCTTTCATGCATGTCACTGCTGTTCATGTGAAAAAGCCACCATTGGCAGAAACACAGTTTGCAGTTAACAGTGGAATAATGCTGCATTCTCATGTCTGAAATGTGCAGACATAACGTTTTCAAGGTTTAAGTGAAGCATCCATATATGCAAATACAGTGCATGTGAAATGTAAGGGGAAGAAAAAGGTTTTCTTTTTGAAGCTACCCAGGGAGAAAAAAGTGGCATCAGGTCAATGTAGTCCAGGACGTCTACCATTAATACAATGACTTGTTTCCTGTGAACACAATAATAGTTACGTTATTTGAAATGTAAACCGTTAATGGAGTCTTCCAGCTATATTTGTTCTGATGTTACTGTATGCATTGAATTTTAATTTAAGCTCAATTAATGAGCTGATGAAATAAATCCATGTTGTCAAAGGTTTATAGCTAATGAAATGATGAGAATTACAGTATGTTCATCACACTATTAGCTGCAAACTGATAAAGTTAATGTTTATTACATTAATTCTCTCAGATATTAAGTTTGAGTTTATCAAGCATTAGTTGGAACAGGGAACTTCAGTGTTGCTCGAATCCTTTAAATGTCAAACAATGTGACATTTTCATTTAGATGTTGAGCAAAAGAGCTGCAGTTACAGGAAAATCTCCCTCAGATCTTCTCACACACTTACGTGTTCAACCTGTGATTTTCAATGCATTCCTAGTGTTATTTAGTGCAGAAGCTCATGCACTACACTCACTTCTATTTTTTGCTACTGTGAGTGTAGAAAGTGCTCTCTTTGCCTTTTCCATGATGGATTTTTCCCTGTGTGACCTTTTGAATTTTGGAGCAAAACGGCAGCTCTGGAGTTCTTGCCCTTTGATTCTGAAAGTATTTTAAAGGAGCAGTCTGACATTTTGGTAAATGGGCTTATTTGCTTTCTTGCCGAAAGTTTGATGAGAAGATCGACACCACTGTCATTTTTGTACAATAAACATTAAGCTGGAGCGAGCAGCTGGTTAGGTTAGGTTAGCATAAAAACTAGCAAAAGGGGGGAAACAGCTCTCCTGGTTCTGTCTGAAAGTGACAATATCTACCCAACAGCACCTCTACATCTCACTAACCAACATAACATCTTGTTTGTTTAATTCATACAAAAAAAAGTGTAAAAACTCTTCCTCTTTTATACAAATTAAACAAATGATAACATGTTAATTTTTGAGTTTTAGAGATGTTAGTAGGCAGGGGTAACAGCTAGCCTAACCGTTTCCCCAATTTTTGTCTACTAAGATAAGCTAACAGGCTCCTGGCTTCATATTCATTCTACCAATGCGAGAATGGCATCTAACTCTTGCAAGAAAGTGAGTAAGCATATTGTCAAACTTATCCTTAAAGTGAATGAAACACTTTTTGCAATCACACAACTGCTGAAGTGCTGAAGTGACTACATCTTCGTTGGTCCACAGGAATGAGACAAATACTCACTGCAACTAAATTAAACCAGGAGTGCAAAGCACACCAGTAGACATTTTAGTGTTTAAGTGTTTTCAGGAGATCTTCCATTTGCTTCAGTAAACATGCAGGAAAAAGTGAGAATTCTCAACAGGCTTCACCTGTAGCATCACTGTCAGTTGCAAACAACACAACGGGCAGTTAAATCTAACATTTCAATTTGAAATTTTTTTTTTTCCTTGTGTACAAATGCTGGAGAGAGCGGTGGTCCGACGCCAAGTGGAAAACAACCATTTCCCCTACCCCCACCCCGATCCCCTCTGAAAAACATGCCACAATGACAGTGTTGTTTCACAAGGAGAGGCCAAAGGTCACAGACACAGAGAACACATCTTAATACTGTTGGGTATACTCGGCCTTGTTGAGGCCAAGGGTCCCTGATTCCAAAAAAACACACTGAAGTGCAAGTTAAAAACAAAGTTACTGCAGTGAGATCTCTGAATGCACAAAGAGCGAGAAAGTGTAGCTGGCATCATTTTCTTTTTTTTTAAAGAAATGAAGTCCTGGCAGTTTTGTGAGGGTTTTTGGGAAGGCTTGCTGGCTTCCTGTGGGACCTCACGTGACTTCCTGTTCAGCTCCAGTATTCCTCTTCTTTCATCTGTGCTTTTCGCTCGTCTTCCCAACTGTTTGCCTCCCTCCTCCTCCTCAGTTTTGGTCCCAGCCAGAATGACCAAAAGAACTGAAGAACTCATGTTCGCCCAGTTTGATTGGACTCTTGTGTGTGCTTCTTTAACCCACAGTCCAAAGCTGTTACCACAATCTCCTCGCAGTCCATTTTTTTTAACCCTCAGTGCAACCACCCCAGAGGCAGCAGGCCCTCTAGAAGAACAGTCTGGCTAAAACGTTTTGGAAAAATTATGCAGAGAAATCCAGAGGAATATTTTTTTCCCCATCCAAGACCTTTTGTCCCAGTCTTTCTAAATCTGGAAATGTTGTAGACTTCAGTCACGGAAGCTCGAGGAAAAACAAAACATAAACTCCAAATATATATATATATATATATATATATATATATATATATATATATAAAAAAAAAAAAAATTGAAAAAAACTGAAGCATTCGGTCTCCGAGCACGACAACAAGAACAACAACTTGTCACAGCGTCAACATCAACATCAGTGGAATTTTAACTCAAATGAAGCCGGAGAATCGTAGTCAGAAGAAAAACAACAGTAACCTTACTGACTGCTCAACTGTGCATGGCGTCTCGAGTTCACATCAGGTATACACACACACACACACACACGCACACATACACACGCACACACGGTGTGTTAAATACAGACAGTAGTAGTTTAGCAGCAAAAAATTCAACCTCATCCTTTCACCCCCCAATAAATAAACACAATCTCCAAACAGATTCAACCCATGAGTCACTCATTCAGAGGAGTGTGTGTGTGTGTGTGTGTGTGTGTGTGTGTGTGTGTTTTTATGTGTGTGCAGGTAAGAGCGTTGGGAGGGGCGGGGCGAGTCACTCCGCACAGGGAAGGTGGGCTCATGCGAGAGGTTGGTGGGAAGTGATGAAGAAGTTGGGCAGTCGGCCATCCTCTTCATCAGACCTTAGAAGAGCATGCTCTGCCTCCTGTTGATCTTGCCGTTACCTGGAAGGAAATCAAAAATGCAATACCCATAAGGCCTTTCCTTTACATCAAAGATGTTATACGTAGCCTTCCTCAATAGACCATTACCTTTTAGACAGTTTAAAGGCACCACCAATGTTCAACAGGAAGTTCGGTTTACTTGTACAGAGTCTTGCTCAGCCTGTGAAGGCTGTATGATGCTTCTGGAGAGAACTTTCCACAGTTTGACCCCAAACAAAAGATAACCCTGATGATGTCAGGGGTTTGGGGTCAAGCAGGCTTGAAACTTAAAACTGTTTTCAAAGAAAGTTTGTGTTACAAACTAGAGGTATGGGGTTTGCAAGAAGTGGTCATTTAGGAGGCAGGGATGGACGCTATTCCAGGTGCATTATGGCAAATGTAGTAATGCAGTGTTTTTGAATCTTAACCAATATTCACTTCAGGATATCTCAGGCCCTACTGCTTCAGTTTTGACCTGTATTTTATTTATCTGTGTTTTAAGAATCTCCCATCTTTATAGAAGTCTAATACTTGTCCCTATCACTACAATAATCAAATAAGCATGTTGCTGAGAAGCATGTCAGCCTTTATCAGCCTCATTTTACCTGCTTTCTGATGATTATCGCACAATCATATTGTAAGAAAACGCATCTGTAGCATCTGGATGTGTTCCCCACCCACCTGACTCTGGGTATGAAGAGCTCCTGTAGCCGGGGTCTCTCTGCAGCTGCACTTCTTTTAACGTGAATATTGATACACCTACAACACAGTGGAGAGCTTCAGTTTACAGCAGAGACCAGCAAAGAAGAAAATCTGCAATAATGGAGCCCAAAAAGACAAAAGACTGTTTCAGTTGTGTGTGCGCTCACTCTCAGGCAGTGTGTAAACTCTCATCCCGAGCGGCCTGAAGTAGGAATGTTTCATCGCCTCTTCAGCTGAAATCCTCTTCTTGGATTCATACTGCAGAGACAGAAACAGGAAATGTCAACCACCCTGTGATTTTAGCACATTATGCTGTGGCTGTTATGTCTGCGATCAGTGGTTCACTCAGATAAACTGCGTCAGACTAAAACACACAATTAGAAACGGAACCAAGTGTATGCTCAGTGAAAACTCTGATGGTGCTACCCCTCCTGCTGTCAGTAAGTGGTACTGAAGGGATTCATTTCCAAAATAAAAGGTGAGCAGTAGTGGCACATGAATACAAATTTCTACTTCTGACAGTACCATGAAAGAAGCAGAACAGACTAATTATTAATATTTTACTCTTGTGGGAAGAGGGAGGGAGGGTATTTGTTATTTTGCAATTATATATCCTTTCTCCTTTTCTTGTTAGAATGTAATTATTCATAAATATGTCATTTAACTTTGGCCTTTACAGTTTATTTAAATTGATGAGGTGTGAAAAGACATGCAACAAAGGTCTCTGGCCTGATTGTGGTTCATGGTGGGTGTCTTAACCCAATAAAATAGTTTTTGGTCTATTTTATCTTGGGTTTTGTTTCACTGCTACACAACCAATTGCTCTTTGATGACAAACTAAATGATTAAAGTAAAGCCAGTTACACTAAATCAGTTGCAAAACCTACAATGTTTTAGGCACTTATCAGTTTCTATGGTAAAGAGAATCTCAGCTCAAAGGTCTTCTTGAGCAAATGGAGCTGGTACAAGTGTCATCACATGCCCTAATGTCAACTTTCAGTCACATAATAACAGGCGGGAGAACATAGCCAGTGTCTCTGTCCAAGAATTGTCTTTGACGTCGGATGTGAATGGTCTCCTGGATGTTTCTCTGGCTGCTGATCCATCTTGACCACCAAAAGTTCACATTTGGTTCATGCGATGACGCCTGTAGCAGCTCATTCATTCATTCACCGAAAGACGACTGTGAGATGCCGTTAAAAGCACAAGTGGACCATTGAGCTTAAAATACCACTCCCAAAGGTCAAGAAGGAACATGCAATAAAGGAAGTACATGTTTAGTGCAGCATGTTTACTAATGAAACCACTAATAATTCTCATTGTAGTGATTATTAGGTACTTGTATTGTTTACTTGCTTTTTATGTATGATTATGTTTGACATTTTTTAATAATATGACATAATACAAATAAAACCGAGAATACCAGTGCAATGTTAACAATAAGTGCATTATAAATAACATTGTTCTGCTTATGGAGAAAGAGTAAGTAAACTTTTAATAATTAGCAGTTTGTTTAATTTTTCTAACTTATAAGCCTGTTTAGTTTAGGTTTATTAGTTATTACTTTAATGTGTAACAGTGCTTCAAGATAAGAAAATGAAAGCAAGAACAGGTGTGAAATGAGCTAGATACATCAGTTTACAGTGAATTGTATTCTGGGTATAATGAGGGAAGTAGACACTCACTCGGAGGAAAGCCAGCAGCAGCTCGATGCCCTCACCGTCCAGCCTAGAGGAGACAAAAGGAAGAACAACAGCTTACTGTCTGCCTGCAGCACGGGCTGATGGGAATGTGGGGGCTCATGGGAGGAAGGAAGTGGATAGCTGTCTGTGAAATGTTCAACAGGATTTCCTGCCCGTGGCGCGCACACACACACACACACACACACACACAGTACTGTAGATATTTTAAGTGGCCAGGAAAGAAAACGGAGCTACAGATGCACTAAAAACACCAACAACCCCCCTCCACACACACACCCACACCCACACACACCACAGTACCTGGGAGCGTGGTTGATTATCGGTTGCGGTTTGTATTTGGGGAAGTTGTAGGACTTAAACTCTTCGATGGATGTGATTCCCGGCCAGTTCTCCTCTGTGGGTGTGCCTGAAGTCAAACAATCAGAGCCACTCAGATATACAGGATTTTGCCACATAAGGGTTAAACAGGTAAGAACGTGTGTGGCGTGGGTTGCTGTGGTGATCTGGCCTGGCAGGAGTCACTCACCCAGTAACCTGAAGATGAGGTGGAGCTCGTCCTCGACGGTAGAGCCGGGGAACAGTGGCCGACCTGCAGCCATCTCGTAGAATATACAACCAACACCCCTGCAGACACACACACACAAAAGCAGTTTCATTCCAGGGCTGCTTACTTTTTTTTATCAATTAATCTAATTAACTGATTCATTGTTTGGTCTCTACAATGTCAGAATATAGTGAAAAATACCCATTACAGCCCATTCAGAATACTGGCAAAATTCACATTGAGAGGCTGGCACTGACAACCTCTGTATTAAACAATAATTGATTATTAATATTGTGGCAGCCAAATTTCCAGTCAAACAAGTCAACAGAAGCAGCAGTAGCAAAAGCAGCAAGCAATAATAGCAGGCAGGTTTCAACTAACCCTTATTTTATGATTGATTAATTAAAAAAAAAAAATTAGTATTAGTTGTAGATTAAAGGTTTAGTCATAAACATATATACACACATATGTAACGATATAACTATAACAAATCCTAAAATTTTGGTATTTTATGTTGATGACAATGAAATGATGAATTTCAAAATTCATTTGAAAATAATAATTTTTTACGCATTCACTACCAGGCATTAGTAGTGTGAGAAGTAGGGTTCTCGTACCACATGTCAATCTGTGTTGAATACTCGGAGGATCCCAGGAGAACATCAGGAGGCCGGTACCAAAGAGTCACCACCTCGTTAGAGTAGGTTTTAGTCGGGACGGACTTTGCCCTCGCCAGACCTGCCAGCCCGCCAAAGACATACACAGACATTAGGATTGTTTACACAGTAGCATTATTCTGAAAGAGCAGAACTGGAAATAATCAAATGCATTTTCACATGATTTTCCTTCCCAAAAGCATTGCAAGGACAGCCAGACCACTCCTCCATTCTCCACTGCCCTGACGACAATATCAGCTGCTGCTACTGTGGTCCTTCTTACCGAAATCAGCCAGTTTGAGCTCTCCTCTCTCGTTGATAAGGAGGTTTTGGGGCTTCAGGTCCCGGTGGAGAACTTTCCTCTTATGACAATACGACAGCCCTCGCAAAATCTGGAACAAGAAAACCTGGAAAGATATGGGTAAAACCTTGATGTTATTAATATGTCTTACAACATGCAAAGTTGAGTTAAGGTCGTGGAACTATTTGGTTTGGTGCCACTTTGGTCCTGACAAAACACTACACAGTCTCATCTCTATTGAACACACAGAAAACAGAGATAAAGGCTCACAAGGTTGATGAGAGAATGTTTTTCCACATCAAGGGAAAATAAAATTACATAGAAAGAGACCAGAATAAAGAGATAATCAATAATAGAAAGTCGTCCTTGCCTTCACATTGTGCATGCTCATTATGTTTCCACAGTCGTCCATGTACTGCTTCAGGTCCTTATCCTACAGGGAGAGATGGTTCCATCAGAAATTAAGTAGATATAATGACACTTACAGAACATCTCTTTACAACAGTATAACTTTTATCCATACGTTTCATTTCGTCTTACTGACTCATCAATCGGCTATTCCACACATCCTGTTAATGCAGCAAATCCATCCTCATAAAACAATAATCTATGTTGCTCATCATCTCATCACCCATGAGAAGCTCCTTCAAACTTCGCTACACTTTTGTTTGAATTTGTTAGTTACCGAGCCACTCCCACCAGACCGAGTGCAACCGCCAGCGGTGCAAACGGCCCAGGAGGAGAGGGGATAAGAGCTAAGCTAACCCGGCTTGGACCTAAGGCTGCTCCACTACCCAGTCTACTCCTGGCTAATGTTCGGTTGCAGGAAAAGGGAATGGATGAAATGAGACTCAGGCTAACCCAGCAACAGGAAATCAGAAACTGTTGTGCCCACATCTTACAGAGACAACATAGATCAAACATCCCAGATCAAGCTATTGCACTAGATAGAATGAATGCAACACAAGTGTTGGGAAAACAAAAAATGCTGGAATTGTCCTTCAATAAATGTCTAATATCAGCTACATTTCCATATCCTGCTCTCTGCCTTTATTTTCAATTTAGAAGCATTTTGTCATTGAGAATACGGGAAAGTCTTACCAGGTACTCGAAGACGAGCGTGAGGCTCTTGTCAGTGTGGACGATGTCGTGCAACGTCACGATGTTGGCGTGTTTGAGGTCCTTCAGTAACGACACTGTAGAGACAATGACAGACAGATGTTTACACAAAGACAAACAGATGTATTTCGTAGTAATAATAATTTAGGACACAAAAGCTGGTTACCTTCTCTGATGGCGGTACATGGCGCTCCTTCCTCATGCTCCAGCCGGATCTCCTTCAGCGCCACCAGGTTGTCTGTCAGCTTGCTGCGTCCTTTAAATACTGTGGCGTAGGTTCCCTGAATGCAACACACAGCGCTGGTTCAATATAACTGCATTAATGTGATTGTGAAACCTATTTCCGTCATTAATAGTGTAACTGTAGCACCTCAGCCACACCCTGTCAGATCTTTTCCACATTTCACACGTTTGATAAGTGCAGTGTTTCAGGGCTTCCTCACCTCTCCTAGTTTGTCGAGCTTAATGTACGTCTCCAACTTGCCAAAACCAATCTCCGACTGAAGGAAAGACAGAGGACAAAGTCAGAATTAAGCACAGATTAAGTTAGTGGGCCACTAAGGAGACAAGGTTCAAGTCCCACAATTTTGGATTCTGCAACCTCCTCAATCTGTTTTTTTACCGTTTCTGCAACAACAGAGTAAACCTTTCTATACCCCTTTATGTGAACTCAACACATAATGCAGATGTGGTGTATTCTGTTCTGTTTTCTGCAGAAATCAGTCTCTGTGCCTCTTCTGTGATGCATTTCTGTGCATCTGTGCATGTATGAGCTCCAGGCCTCCTCGCTCTTTGTTTCAGGAGGACTGATTCCAAAACCTGATGTGTACAGTCAGTCTTTTAGTTTAGAGTGAGACACTTAAGGTCCGTTAAAACCCTTTGAGCCCGATTCCTGCAATTTGCTTCGAAAAATGCACTCTGTGTATCTTACACTTCTCTAGGATATCATTTTGGCTGATGTCCATTAGAAAATACATCAATAAATCTGCTTAAAAATCATACAAAAAAGGTCCTTATGACTCCAGAACTTCCATGAGAATCAAGACATTTTCTTCAGTTTGACAGTAATACAGTGATAGTTGTCTGTACATGGGTACATAACAGGAACTGCCAATAGCTAATTTGGCTTACTTTCATTGGCGCTTATCTGCCGAAATGTAGTTGTCTCGATTGATTTTGTTTGAGGGGGGTACTCACAGCGTCAGACTATAAAAATCCCTGTTACAGATCAATAAAACATTTTCTACCATCATCCTCCATTATAGCCGCTGGAAATATCTTGAGCTAACATGGCATCCTCTGTGATGGGCCAGCACAGAATTGACTAAAAGGAAAGCAACAACACATCAAAGCACAAAGGGGAAGAAAACGTTGTCTATTTTGTACGAGCAGTAACTTTTTTAAGCTTATGTGTCTCTGTTGGTGGGCCTGAAATATACACCTCCTGACAGTCGGCAACAACACTGCAAAAGCAAACCACAGCTGACTAATATGATCTAATTCGATGGGCATAAAGATAGGAGGAGGTGAGTACTTGTGACTCCAGATTAATCCATCCTGGTCTCACACCGGGCCAGTTGCCATGGTAACGTGCACAGAGGGAGTCTGGCAACTGCAAAGCAATAAGAAAAACAAAAAAAACAAAAAGGTAGCACACACACAGAACATTAAAACACTGACCAGCGAGGCTCGGCGGGAGCGTCGGCTGAGCGGCTGGTCGAAGGGGGGGCTGCTGAGCTGCAGCTTCTCCAGGTAACCGTCAGGAATTCGGATGTCAGCAGGGAGAGACAAGCGCTTGTTGAGGTCCTAAAACACACACACACATAAAAAGATGTTGAAAATGTTTAGAATTTATACTAGCTTTTCACATTCCTGTAGGGGTGGATCTGGGGTTTCTTTGTGCAAGAAGATTTGCACCTACATAAAAGAAAGTATTTAAAACCAAAAGAGACCAGATTTAATTCTTAATACTTCATACTTAAACACACACTAAGTTCACCACACGAGTCGATGGTTATGAACCACAGTGTTGCTCTTCTGCAACCTGCTCACATCACAGCAGACCATGAGAATATATACCGTGACATGCCTCATATCCATATGTGGTGTGGGGCCATTCAGTCTATAAGTGGGGCGTGTTGTCCAACACACACACACACAGTGTCTAAAATAACTCGCTCTCATCTCCTCCTGCTCCCAGAGAGAGAAGACAGAGATCAGGTCGATCACTATCATCAAGGGGGTAAAATTAAAAGGCGCATGTCGAAACGAGACTGCTGAACAGTAAAACCTGTGTAAGCACAAATCAGATTGAGATTGTGAAAACAAATCCAGCACCTGCAAACAAAACAGCAAGAAAGCTAGGCGAGAATAAAACACATCATCTGTACATTTCTAGCTCATATTCTTAGTCTGTATTTACTCCGGAGGCTGTTATTGTCAATATTACTGGGCTGGAGGACAACGGATCATATCTATTCTAGGATCCCAATAAGATAGTGATGAACTAACAATGCTGACTGATGTGGGAAAAAGCAAGGATGAGTAAAAATACAGTGAGAGAAGACATCTGCTTGGCTATCATACATGCTTTTAAGTTCATCTCCACAATCCCATCAAATCATCCTCTCATTTCATTACTGTAGTCATTTGCCCTCCATGACAATGCTGCTCAGAGAAGATGCCGGTATTGTGACAACAGAGTTCAATAAATGAAAGCTCTGATTATGTAGAGAATTTCTCTGTCTTGAAGAAGGGAAGTATTATATAATGTGACTCCATGCTGCTTTCTCTCTGATGTAGCTCAAAACTCATAATTTTAATGAATTCTGAATTCATTTTCATTTTCTGAATTCTGCGCTAGCCGCAGTGAACGAAAAATCTCCATAAACAATCATAAGTAACAATGTGGTTCTCTTTCTCCTCGTCCTTGTTAACCTTTCCTCACCTAATTCCATTTCTTCCACCTGAAATTAACTTATAAATAAAACTGTAGGTGTTAACTCCTGTGGCCTCCTCATGCGACAGCATGCTGTGTGTGATGCATTATTCTTTGGAGAATGCGGGTCACTTTCAGGCTGTGGCCAGTTCACACTGGAGTCTGATATGGGCCACATTAAAAAAATTTAAACAATCTGATCTGGGCAATAAATCGGAATTGAGCATTAATCAGTCCCTCCAGGGTTTCGGGAAGACACGATCGCAACTATAAACATAAATTCAACACATCTGTGTGGATTCAGCAAGACTTGCAATTTTGACCCATCATCGCCGTTTTCCGCAAAACATTGTCATACGTCAGCAAACTCACTTCCTTGTTTACAGGACACAGCAGACATGTGTGATACCAATGTCTCACATTTGCCTACAAAAATAACAGCAAAGGACCATGAAAAATAGTATACTGATCTTCTTTACCAAAGCAGGGGTAAACTGTTTTGCAAAAGACACAGTATGTGGTCGCTTTACCAACGGCAAACATACGGAGAATGGCAGAAACGCGTGGAGGACGTCAGACGAGACCAATCCCTGTGACACAGGCTGTTTCTTCCCAGTCAATTTTCAAGAGCCAAAAGAATCAAGGTAAGATGGTTTAAATATACATGATTAGGTTAGATTCCTGCAAAAAAAAGGCCCAAAACATCTCAATTTGTTTTTGGAAAGCTGCCGCAAAATCAGGCATTTTATGCTGCAACAATGACTAAAAAGGCTTGTGAAATCCTGGAGGGACCGATTAAGGTTTGCAGTGTGAACGTGGCTTTATATACATGCGATCAGTGCTGGGTCATCCCAAAGCTTTTGTTGATTTTATATGTAAATAAAAGCAAATCTGCATTTATTTACATTACCTAAAAATAATTATCACTAATAATATAGTAAACACAATGTTGGTGCACATTTTGCACGTCTGTTGCAGGCGTGCCATTTCCTTATCACTTAAAATAATAAAATAAGGTAAAATAATAAACGTTCAAAAGTTTGAACTTATAGTCGGATATGCCAATCCATTTATTAACATAACAAAAAATGTAATATTTCTTCAACAATAAACTTAACCATAATTACACGCCGTGCCTCACAGTCAAAAATGCAAAATGCATGCACCTCACTATGTGCCACACCTAAACTAATTAACCCCTGTCTTAAGTAGACTTGTGGCAGAACACAGCGACACCCCATCCCAATACACAGAATGGCTCCAACACACAATATACCACAAATATGAATACATCAACTCAAGTAAGTAAACAAAAAGTAAGTGAAAGTAAAAAAAATACATCACTGAGTTTGGTTAATGTCTTGAATTACATACTGATCTAATTTTTTGAGGTATTAAGGGATAGGGCTTGGTATCATTTTAACATTTCCTTTACTATTGCCAATAACAATACCAAAATAGAGCTTTTTTCATATTTTTCAACAAAACACCCACACACAAGAACTAACTAACAGTCAACGGCCGTCAAAAATAATATTTAATATATCAGGAGCTAGTTAACCACAGAATAAGCAAACTAGACTTGTACTTTACAAATTTTGATACAATTTACTCTTTGTACACATTTTTGGCTGGTGCCAAAAAAGTACTGAGGTTTGATATTAAGCGCTAATTTGGGTGTAATTTTTAACAAATTGTTGAGATTAAGATATTATGTTTTGCAAATAACAACACACTGAAAAAAGCTAATTGTTTTGAATGTTCTACCTCAGATTTTCTAAGTGATCCACTGTTTGGCCTCAAGTGTTGACGATAAACACAAAAGAGTTTAAACCACAAATAACGATCAGGTTTCTACAACTTTCACTCAGGAGCAAAAGTCAGCCTTTAATATAGAAAGAAATAACGATTTGATACTTACCATAATAATTATCGATATCAAAAGATATGAAAACTTTTAACGTGATAAAAATTTTGGCCATATCGTCCAGCCTTAGCTGGTAGAGAGATGTATCTGAAAATCTATGCCTACTATCTATCGGGGTATGTCCACTTGTTTACTTTGTTGAAAAAAATGGACACTGTCCATTCCTAATATTGCACAACGGACTATGACATTGTCAGTCAAGCGGATAATATTAATAAACTGGAAACATTTTAAACATTGAGAAGTGCTTGACGGGCAATGGAAAGGGTTGTATCAGGCCTCCAAGACTATGATAATTGATGTGATGGAACTTAAGACTTCATAAGGTCCTACTTAGAAACACTATATTGGTCCCTGTACATTTGTAATAATATATTTCAAATGGATTGTTTTGTTAATTTGATAAATTTTCCATATAATATTCTGCTGTCACCCCTTCACCCTTTCTTTGGTATTATACTGTATATCAATGTTGTACTGTACGATTGTAGTGCTATATGATATTATGTTTGAGTAAGTGTAAAAGTGTCTTCTTTAACTATGAGATTTGATGTTTTTGAGATTTGGGAGTGTAGAGTCACCACACAACTGAAAACAACTTACTGTCAGGTAAGAGTCAGTAACCAAGCGTTCACTCTGCACTTGACCTCCTTACCGACAAACTACAGCTTCATTAAAACCTCCAGTAGTATCAAAAGAACCACAAGTGGATCAGCGCATGGTAGCTCATGTAACAGAGCTTACGTGTGTGTGTGTGTGTGTCTGTCTGTCAGGTCATTATCTCACAAGGATGTGTCTATGATCACCACATCCTTGCGCTCCTTTTGTTTCGAGCACCTACAAATAAGATAAACACTCAAAATGAGCAGAAAATAGGTCACTGTGTGGGTGTGGGTGAGAGAGAGAGAGAGAGAGAGAGCGCGAGAGAGCGAGCGAGAGAGAGAGAGAGAGAGAGAGAGAGGAAACATCAAGGATGTTGTCAAGGTGGATTTGGTTACATACGCTCCTCTGCCAGCAGGGGGCAGGAGGCCTCCAGGCTGCAACAATAATCTTTTTCAGACTCCTTCATTACATATTTCAAGAGGGCAGAAAAGGCACTGGGAAATATTAGTAGGGCCAGGCGATAAAACAATAAGAATAGTTATCGGGATATAATTTTCCTCGATGGAAATATAACAAATATTCAATAAATGTTAAATTTAATTCATTTGAATCACAGACTAATCAGCATTACATTTTTCTATTAGGATACTTATTTTGTAGAAGGACTGAAAAAAGATGTTACTTAATTTTACTCATGCATATTTGTTGAGAAAAAATTTGATCATTCTAATTGTTTTAAAATATTCTACCTCATAATTGAGTGATCCACTGTTTGGCAGGTGTTTATCATGTTCTGACCATAAAGAAAGAGAGAAAGAGTTTAAAACTTCATTTAACTTTCTGATTTCTCACTCAGGAGCAAACCTTTAAACTTGATGACTTATTGTGATAACACTTTTGGCCATATCACCCAGCCCTAAATAGGAGATAGTTTCTAGTTTAATTTAAAACTTAATCAAAGTAGGAATGGTGTTCTTATGTTGAATAGGTGATTTTGACTGGCATGAATTCATTATACATCCTTGCAAGAGGAACAAAGGAGACTCCTATGCTCTCGAGTCTCCCCCGGACGTCTGACATGTAGAAAATCCTCGTGCTTACAGAACAGATTATCACACAGCGTCTCTTTACCGGCTGCTGCTGTGGCCCTCAGGGAGCAGGGCTGCTATCAGTATCATGACGTCCAGAAACTGAGAGCCCATTAGGAAAAAAACCCATCCCCAAACCCCCTCCCGAATTAGACCTCCCATGAGGCTGAGGGGGGGAGAGGAGTGGGTGAAGAGCAGAGCAGAAGGAGAGGGGGTGATGGGTGGAATGCAGACTCGCTGTGTGAGCCGTTTCTGCAATTATTGAATAGTGTGTGTGTCTCACCTCCATGGAGATCCGCCGGTGGATGCGGCTCCTCAGACAGACGCCGGTTGGAGATTGCACCTCGTCTGAAGACGTTCCCGATGCCTGGTCGCTCTCCCCATCTGAGCCCATCTTCAGGTTTTCATGTACAATATCTAAGAAAAAATGAAAATAAGTAAATACATTAAAAGACACAAAAAGATACAGAGATACATGTTAGTGAGTACTTTTCTACAGGATAAAAAGTGGCGTTGGATATTAATAATAATAATAATACAGCTTTATTTATATAGCAACTTTCATCCAGCTTGTGCAGCTCAGAATGCTTTACAATGAAGTAAAGAAGGGAATCAATAAAAACAGGCAAAGTGCAAACAAAAGAGCCAGCACATTGTCATATTCAGCAGTACTTCCCCCTGTTTTCCTCATGTTCTCTGTTGTTTCCCCCGCCCACATGCTGCTAGTCCTGTCTGTCTGTTTCCCCTGTGTGCTTGGTTTCAGCTGGGCGTGGTTCTCCTCCCTGGCTCCCGCACTCACGTTATCCACACACCTGCAGCTTGTCACAATCACCTGTCTGCAGTATATCAACCCTGGTCCTGCGTGCTTCAATTTGCCAGATCCTAGTTGTGATTTTTTCTCTAACCCGTGTGTGGCTTTACCTCCGTCTGGATTGGATTCACTTCCCTGGCCCCCATTGCCCCTTCAAATATTGTCAGTGAGATCTGTAATAAACCTCACTTTTTGAACTGTGGATGGTACCTGCCTCAGTCTTGCTTTGGGGTCCAGTTTTACGTTCTCATAACACACATAGGCAGAACAGATATGCTAACAACAATGGAATATGTGAAAGACATGAGAACAATAAATATGTACAGGATGAGAATAAAACAAATCAGATTAAAGTTGTCCCTTTACTCTCAATCAGACCTGGTCCAGTCTGTGTGATATGATTGCACTTTGATTGATAATACTGTAACACACTGTAAGTCCCCCATTTACCATTTATAAGCATAATAAATGACCAGGGAAAAAAGGAAAGTTGAATAAACCGTTTTAACAGCAGACATTCTGACTTGAAAAACATATGTCACACCATTATTACTTGCTTGAGCAGAGCCTCCTTAATGTAATTAGTCCCACCTGCTTTGACAAGTCAAAATGTCTGCTGTTGATTCATTTGGGATTGATAAAGAATTAAGAGTGCCTACTGTTGCAAGGCTAGCAAGCTTCGGGTGAGCAAGATTTATTCAGAGCAATAAAAAAAAAAAAAAGCCAAGTACAAGACTTCTGATCAGTGATCCTCACTGGGCAAATACGTCAGTCAAATGCAAATAAGGAGTCTATTTTGCTTTCAGGTTCACCATCAATGTACTGTATCAGGTGAACTGTGTGTCTTTTGACAAAGGTTAACATGCATTTTGCATTCACACAACAGAAATGGGAAACATGAGTGAAAGAATGTCTTAATAATCACATTAATTCAATAAAAGTCAACTTGAGAAATATTTCCAATGGGGATAAAAATTAGTTTGGGAACCATTGGTTTAAGTATTGGTAGAAGTTGTCGTGGCGGTGAGAGTAGCACATATGTATTTGCAGTACTAGTAGTAGTTGTATTTTAAATGTAATACTTCATCAAAATGTAAGACTGAATAGAAAAGCTCTTCTGGCCCACAAACTGCACACCCACATGTGACATTTTTAAATGATTGAATTACACTTCAATCTGCGCCCCCCGAGGCCAAAATATTAAACACTGCACCACTTCCACCAGGGCAATAAAACTACCATAGCACAGCAGGAGCAAACACACACACACACACACTCTTAATGAGTAGCCATGGGTGAGCAGTTCTCTATCATCAGTGTGCAGCGCCTCAGACCATGCAGTCTATCATCAAATGTGAAAGCACAGAGCAAAGAAATAAAAAAAACCTCTATAAAGTTTCTGTTTATGGAGATGAACTGCAATTATTTCAAACATGATAATCCTCATTATTTTACTAAATATTAGCCTACACTAAAGATGGTTAATGACAATTGGTAGTCTAGATTTAAGGAAATAATTACGGCAGTTTTACAACCTAACAAAGCTCCCTTATTCTATTTATGCACCTTATCGACAAACTTCACTTCATATAGTCCTATCTATTACTCTGCGGTGCAGCAAAAAACCAAAGGAACACTTTGTCCCAGAATGTGGACCTGTCTGTGGTCTTCTCGTTAGAAACCAAAGTCTCCTCAGATTAAAGGCAAGGCTGATCAACTCTAGAAATGAAAATGTTTTGGGGATTTTCCTTTGGGGCTGTCCCGTTCTAATCTACTCAGCATGTCATTCTGTTTTTCCACAAGTGGGAAAGAAAATATGACACTTCAGTATTTCACGGGAATTCACCAGAACAGAGAAGGCAACAAGGCAGATTCAACAAAGAGCAGACAGGAAACAGGAGAAGGAGAGGGAAGTACACTGAAGTAACATCGAAGAGCTTTTTTGTTTTTATTTAGAAAACAAGAAAATCACTTCTTTCAGATTGAAATTACACCATTAATGTTATATTTAGGGTCTGAAATTGACTTTTTTTCACTGGTTTGCCAATTTTATCTGTCATTATTGAAACGTATGCGCTAAATGAAAGAATAACATTCAGCTCATTTAGGCATCATTTATTGTAAATAATGGTGTCATTCAAGGTTCAGTACACAAAAACATTACATTCATGTGATATGCACAAGGGACCCATGTCTTTCAGTACAATGACAATCAATCCACCTTACAACAACCAGGTCTCTCATAGGCACCGACAGACAACAAGAAACACAAAGCACGCAAGAACTTGAAGTTCACTACAATGTTTTTCTACAGTCGGTGTCCAACAAAAATAAAACCAAGGATGCCTCTTGCATCTAAAACACAAGCTTAGTGATTCTCCGACAACACTGGAGTCCCATAGGAGATATTTGATTGGCTTACCCTGATATTCTTACTCCTAACCCTAACCAATCTCACTCCTCTTGCCTAAACCTAACCAATCCAACCAACAAAGGCGACAAGTACTAGCCAATCAGAGGCAGAGCAGGGCAGGTCACGCCTTCACTATGCTAGGAAAATTGGCCTCCTGTGGTCCGGCCAGTGCGCTGCTGGCAAGCTAACCAGCTGTCACCGATTGCCACAGTACGCTAACCTTACATGCATCTTTCTGTTGTGTGTTGTCCCTGTCCAGATGCCCTGACGATTGTACCCACCACTGCCAACAAATTTACCCGCATTTGTCGGGTGGCGGGCACTAATTATAGAACCTGGTTATAATCATTAAGATTTTCATGAAATCAAACCCTGGTTTTGATACTATTTAATTTATTATCACCATTATTTTTCAATAGCCATTCATTATATTCAGATTTTGTTATTACCTCTCTATAAAGTAGTTTTCATTGTTAGTGGCGGAGTCAGCCATTCCCACACAGGGTTCAAATTGCCTTCCTACACAAGGGATTTACAGGAAATGATGCATGTATGTAATCCAGCATGGCTGTTCTTAATTTTATTTAATTGATGGCAGTCTCACTGTTCACTCTCCTATTGCTGTATAAGAGCTGTATAATGTACCCAACATTTCCTACTACTGCTGCACATTAAAAGCATCCAACTGACATCCAACTGACATCCAACTGACATCCAACTGACATCCAACTGACATCCAACTGACATCCAACTGACATCCAACTGGGGTGGGTGGGGGGCTTTTACTGTGAACCGATCACAGGAAACACAATGTTTGTCTCACAGAGATCATAACTGCGATCGTTCATCAAAACTGCGTCTAAAAAACAAGACAGCTGTCGTTTTGGGCATTTTTCCTCCACAGGGAGTGATGGATCAGTCAGGAGCAGCCACAGTGAGCTGTCTGCTGTCTGATGAAGAGCTGGAGGCAACAGACAGCAAAATCTCCAAACCCTCAGCAAGGTTTGTCTTTCTTGGTTGCTACTTTTGTCCACAACAAGTAACTCCACATTAAAGCTTCACTCCCAGAGTGATGTGGTTGACCGTTGATGGCATTGTGGGGGTGTTTCTGTATGTAAACAAGCCTCTACTTGTACAAGCAGGTGGATGTAGAAAGGCTGAGATTTATCATTATTCATTGCGTAAAGGTGTGAGCGTGTGTGGTTGAGATTAAAGCCTTACTATGGCATCCTTTAGAAAGTTTTCCTCTTTCCATTTCCCCTGTTTTCTCCCCTGTAACTCCCACACTTTCCTCCTCCTAACCTAGTTACTCTTTCTCTATAAAGCACCTTGCAAATAACTCATTCTCACCCCACTTTACTTCTTCAACTTGTCGCCTCTTTGAATACTTCCAAATGATCTCTCTTCCCTTTTCCTGTCATTTCTCTATATCTCTTTTACATGTTTCTTGCCCTACTTTAAAAACCTCACCATTTTCAATCACTTCCCCATGCCTGCCTTACTTTCCCTTTCACTCTACATGTTTCTTCTTTGTTCCTGTCTTTTGCAAGGTTTTCATAGGCAGCGGCCAATCTGACTCTCTCTATTGCTTCAACACATTCCTTCGCTACCTGTGCTTTTCTAACTTGCGTGTCTCTTCTCCAAAGCCTTCAAATGATCTCATCTGTCCTACTTTCTTTTCCTTTCAACCTCCTTTCACTTCCACATACTTCTCTATCTCCTGCTATTATATATCTTCCCTTATCCTCTCCAAAAACTCCCAAAGGTTTTTCTTGCACAAAAATATTTTCACTTTCTCCCATCATTCCTTCACCTCCCAACAGACAAACCTGATTCCATCTCTTAAAAAAATTTTTTTTTGCTTTTACATGTCCCCCATCTTCTCTTGGAAGGATTTCATTCTCCATCCATTTGTCATCTTTCTTTCCTGATATCTGATCTCCACACATCCTTCTGTTACTTCCCTGCTTTTCTTGAGAGATTTTTGTACTTGTTGAGACTTTATGATCTTTCTCTCTCCCCCTACTTATCCTTCTTGCCGCGGTCTTTAGCAGCTTTGCTAATAAGCACACAGCGTTCAGTAGCAATATGTGGTACATCAATGTCCTACTTAACTGTCCTGTTTTTAGATCCAAGTCCCTCTATCTAGGCCAGGGTCCAGTGCGAGGCTTAGTAAGTCCTTTGGTGTATAAGCCTTTACAAAAATTTGCTTTGAGAAGCACCAGCCAGGGTCCACATTTTTTACTGAAATAATGATCATATCATTGCTAATAGAAAATCTAAATGCTAAAAATTTTAACGTTGAGTCAAACAGACTGTTTGCACAGATTATTGCTGCCTAGCCCTGAATCATCTCATCGCCCTCTTGGCTGCCCCTCAGCTTGAAATCTGCTGCTGCATGAATCATCCCAACATCGTCTTCCCTTCCGACCCTCAGAATGAGACTGCTATGGATCCAGTGTGATGAATCAGTTCACACAGGAAACTGCGTCATGTTTGACTGAATCCCCCATCCAGCTGTCACTCGGGTGAAAACAGCCCTGCTGAGGGCGAAGAGAGAAGAGGCCTAGTGGGAGAGACACCCAGTCACTCGGGCCAAGAGTGTGTGTGTGTGTGTGTGTGTGTGTGTGTGTGTGTGTGTGTGTGTGTGTATGAATATAAGAAGCAGGATGGAAATATCAGGAACGTGACACATTTCTTGTTTGTTCCTGGATGCCATCTGCTCTCCCGCTACTTCCTTCCTTCCTTCCTTCCGTGTGTGTGTGTGTGTGTGTGTGTGTGAGAGAGTGTGAGAGAGTGTGTGAGTGTGTGTGTGTGTGTGTGTGTGTGAGAGTGTGTGTGTGTGTGTGTGTGTGTGTGTGTGTGTGTGTGTGTGTGTGTGTGTGTGTGTGTGTGTGTCTCACCCAGGCGACTGCCGTTGCGTGGCATTGCCATGAAGGACCCCAGGGTGCCACCAATGACGCTGTGTGGCCGGCGGAGGGGGGGCTTCTTGAAGGAGCCGGTGTACTGGTGCAGGAAGGAGTGCATGCTGTGCGAGGTGGGGGGGCGGCCGTTCCTCATGAAAGGCTCTGAAATGCAACAAAACAAAAACTGTCAGAATTTCAGATTTTCTGGCTCAGTAGGTGCATCAAATGAGGAAACAAAATATCAGCTTCTGTCTTCGTCAACCCCTTCAGTGTGTCCTTTGTTTGAAATGCACGCTGTGACCAAGTTGTGTTTAAACAAACAGAACTTTATTTGACATTTAAGTCAAGGTCCCGATGTTTCCAAAAATACCAAACCTCAGGCTACATTACGAAAAAATTTGCATAAACAGGACATCAAATATTCTTCAAAGGTATGTAATGTTGCAGTAACTTAGGTTTAATAACTATGTGAGCAAAAATACATTTCCTGCTATTTAAGAAAAAAATTCAGCCATTTAAAGAGTTGTTGTTATTTTTGGGAATACCCTTATTCACTTTCTTGCCAAGAGTTTGATAAGAAGAAGTATACAATGATACGAGGCATTCCAAGTTAGTTTTACAGTGTGTTCAGATACAATTAGAACAAATTTGACCAAGGTGGTACAAACTGAGGTACAGGTACGCCTATAAATGTTTAAATTTAAGGCAAAAAATTTGGCTTGTTCCAGGGCTTTATGAATTCACTTCATCAATGTGCACATGGTGCTTCCGTTGCTAGCTATGTTAGAGCTAATGTACAGTTAATATATTAGCTGTTTAGGATGAATAAACACAAACTGTCCTTTGGTCAAATTCAATATTTACCACAGACATTAGAGTGGAATCAATCTCCTCATCTAACTCTCCTCAAGAAAAGCAAATAAGTGAGTTCCCCCCCACAAATATTTCTTTAAGGGGAACCCTATTGTTCAAGCAATTCATACTGCCCAAAATCATAATCAGGATAATTAGAATTTAACACCACTGCTTGACAACAGCATCCTGTGACTTTATCTTTCTGTCCCTGCCAACTTTCTTGAGCTCATCCGACCTTACACGTCAACTGCCAAAATTAACATAATGCTGCCCTCAGGTGCTTGTCAGACATATCAGAATTGCATGTTGGGCATCATGCCTAACTGATTTTAACAAGGAGTCGAAAATTTCATGGCTAGTTGGGTTTTTCAAGGCTTTTATGAGCAGAGCATGGAAACCTTTTCAGCAACTGAAATTACTGGTTTATCATATGGAGAACCTATTACTTTATTTATACAATTCCTATCAAACAAGGCTGGCGGTACAACTGTCTCCAGAGTTAAACATGTAGACACCTTTTCCGTCAGGAAAGGCTTCAAAAATAAAGCATTTTAAGAAATAGCTTGATATAATGGCAAATGATTTGCTTTCTTGCCAAAAGTTAGATGAGGAAATCAATACCACTCCCATGTCTATATGCTAAATATGAAGCTACAGCCTGCAGGTGATTAGCTTAGCTTAGCACAAAGACTACAAGCAGGGGGAATCAGCTGACCTGGTGGTTTGATTGATATATTACAATTTCCCTTGTCTATACTTCATCATTGTATGGGAGACAAACTGTACTGTGGTGAATGTTATCTAACAAAGATGTCAAGGAAAGTGTGTGAATGCTTGTTCTCTATATACAGTACTACCCTCTCACTTGCTAAGTTGCAATCAAGCAAAAGAGTGTGTGTGTGTGTGTGTGTGTATGTGGTGTGCTCAAGCAGCTCCCTTACTCTTAGTCCTGTTACATAACTTGATAGAGAGCATCTCAATGGAAGTCTGTTACAGCTGTTACTGACACACACTGTACTCTCTTTCCCCATCAATCTCAGTGCTTCATAATTTAAATACCCCTGAGAGCCACCAACATGCTGAAAGCTCTGTGTGTGTGCGTGTGTGCGGTTTTTAGATGCCTGCTGATGGACAGGAAGATATAGTGAAAATCAGACCAGTGGAATTTCCTTCCCTGGTTGGACTATGGCACTCACACATGCTGCATTTTCTGTTGCAAGAAAGTACTCTGTTGCAGCAGTACTAGTTAACAGTAAGTGAGGTCCTCTTGCTACAAACACAGTTAAGGAAGTCTTTGAGTTACACAAAATGAAAACTAAAAATGCAAATGAGCTGCTGTTAATACACCAGAATAGCTTTGTAAAAAGTTTATTTTTAAAGTTCTTTTTGAAAATATCCACCAGCATTAATGTGTTAGTAACGTGTTATTAATCCCACCAAACATTTACAGATTTGTTCAGAAAAATAAAAACTGAATCTGTTGAAGCTGTACCATTGTCCTTGGTGCCGCCGTCCTCGATGGTCATCTGCTCAGCCAGTTCAGACAGAGACTCGTCAATGGTCTGACTGGGGCGGAGTGTTAACGACAGGCGCTTCTTAATCCTCTTCATCTTCTCCATAGCAGGGCAGTGCACAGCCTGCAGGACACACAGAAACACCCTGTCAACATTCATTCAGCAGTAACGGACTGATACACAAGTAGACAAATGTCTCAAAACATTTAGAGGACTGTTTTGTTGTTGTTGTTGTGGTTTGTGCGTGTGTGTGTGTGTGTGTGTGTGTGTGTGTGTGTGTGTGCGCGCGCGCGTGCACAGCGTTGGGGATTCCAAAAGCCTCCGTACAATCCAAAATATCTCAGCTCATGAATAACATAAAGCTGCTTTTAATCCAATATTCATTCGCTCTGCAAATGCTTGAATAGCACATGAATAAAGCATGGACAAAGCATGAATAAAGGATGAATATCACAGACTTGAATACAGCTGTTTCCACTTACTCACACACATGCACACAGGGAGAAATCAATGAAGTCTAACTGAAGGAGGAGAGAGTCAAAGCAGTTAGCACACACACATACAAACACATCTGCAAAAACATGCGAGTGTGTTTGTGTTGACGTAGCAGTTGCCCAGGTCACAGGAAACACCTTGCTCAATCTGCCTCAAGCCAGTCTCTGCTCATTGTGTTCCTGTGTTAACTCCCCTGTGTGTGTGTGTGTGTGTGTGAGTGTGAGTGGAATGGGCACACTGGGTGAGTGGAGGAAATGCAGCGAGGAAGCAGCAAAAAGGAGGAAGCAGCAGAAATGCCCCGCCCATCCCGCCCGACCCTCGGCGCAAAACGAACTGACCCCTGCCACCGCCATCACTCTTTTTCTCTCTTTCAGTCTCTCTCAAGGTCGTTAGCTCCCCTCATACTCATGAGACACCATCTGCCTGTCTGAGCGCACACACACACACACACACACACACACGCACGCACCCCTTCAGCAATTTGTCATTCACGACACTGCGTGGCGAGAATCACTTCATCAATCAGTGTCGAGGCGCGCGGCTGCAATCTCGCAACAACACACAACCTGCTCATCGGATTCTGTATGTTGTGTAAACACATGCGCATTTACAGAAAAAATTCAAATGCTTGTAGGACTGTGTGTGTGACCTCAATTTCCTCTCAGCTGGCTGGGTCTAATTAAAGCCCAACAAGCTACCAGAGGAGGAATTTATTAATTTTATTAAAAGATTTCTATTTATATTAGTATATGATTATTTTATTTTAACTAACTACTCTGGAAATTGATGCAACAGCAATTAATGTCAATTTCAAACCCTAACTAACTCAGCTGTTTCCAAGCCCAACAATGAGCTGCCATGCTCAACATTTATGGCAACATGAGAAGTCCTAAAAGTCGAACACTGACAATTCTCTAACAAATGAGAAAATTCCATCTGCTAATGAGGTGGCATAGTTGCATTGTGGGTGATGTAGTTGGAGACAAAGAACACATAGAATGAAACAGATTTTGATCTTTGCACAGTATATGCCATCATGTTACGCCAGTAATAGTAAGTCAAGTACTTGTACTCGAGCTGAAAATTCTTTCTATTGCTGGAAATGTAGCGGGAATAACAATAGAAACAGTAAAACAGAAAACAATTAGCAAAGATGACCAACTGACACAAGCACTAAAACACTGAACTATGGCCTCAGAATTGACCAGTGGGCTTTCACATCTCTGACAGCCTCAACAAAATTAGGGTGAGGTTGGAGCAGTGGCTAAGACACATGCCTTTGGTGTGAGAGACCTGGGTTCAATTCCCCACTGTGACACGTCCACCAATGTGTCCCTGAGCAAGACACTTACCCCCTAGTTGCTCCAGAGGCGTGCGACCTCTGACATGTATAGCAAATGTAAGTCACTATGGATAAAAGCATCAGCTAAATGAATAAATGTAAAATAAATGTAGAAATCATAACTAAATTCCCATTTAGTGAAAGGAATTTCCTTTATGTCCATCCATTGTCAACCGCTTATCCTGCGTACAGGGTCGCGGGGGGCTGGAGCCAATCCCAATTGACATCGGGCGAAAGGCGGGGTACATCCTGGACAGGTCGCCAAGCCATCGCATGTCCATTCCCTTAAATTATTAATGTGTTGTATACATTTTCCAGCTGATTTACAATGTGCAAAGCTTGTAGCACCATCCAGTAACCTGTGTGTGATTAGCCCACATTTGAAGGGGAAGTGTGTCAGGATGGTGGCCCAATCTGCATGCAGATCTGATGATGCCATACACATACTCACACTCACACACACAGAGGAAACAGACAGTCCAGAAATAGGGAAAAAATTCCAGCTTAAGAGGCAAAAAAATCCTTCTCATAAAAAAATGCAAAACACTAAAATGACTGCATTGGTGAAACACTCTCTCTCTCTCACACACACACACACACACATTCTCTCCCTCATCCACACACACTCACTGTATGTGAGATAAGCACTCTTTGTCTCCCTTGTAGAGGAGTGTAACAGAGCCGGGTTTTATCTCTGCAGCAAACCAAAACAAAGAGACTCGTGTGACGTGTGTGAGAGTGTGTGAGAGTGTGTGTATGTATCTGTGTGTGTGTGTATTGAGAGTACAGCATCTGGCACATATGAATGATTTGTGCGTGTGGGGGATCCAACATGAAAAGCAGCACAAGCAATCTGCCAACGATAGAGAGACACAGAGGGAGAACTGAGACAACTCCCCCCAATTTGCTTTCTCTCTTTTTTAATCATCAGCATCTCCAGAAATTCTCTTACACACACACACACACACACACTTTGACCCACATTCCTGACAGCCCCCCACCCCATCACTCCTCTGCCCCCTCATGGATGCCTCCCAAGTGCATTGTGGGTAGTCCAAAGGAGGAGACTTCAAAGGGCAGGAGAGGGGGGAGATCCAACAGGCGACAAGGCCTAATTAATAGGCTAATAATTACATACACACACACACACACACACACACACACACACACACAAACACCTTCCCCTCTCCATTCCTTCTTTCCTTTCTTATTCCCTCCCTTTCTACTACTTCTCTCTTCTCACCCAAATCGAATATCAGAATGAGGTAATGAAACGGAAAATGTGGCTTTTTTCATTTATTAAATCTTAGAGATGTGGGTGGAAGTGTGAATGTTCAGAGGCAGAGGAAAAGAAGGAATAAGAGAGAGTGAAAGTGAATTTATTTGGGCGAACGGAGCCATAATGGAGTCTTTGTGTTTGGTTATGAGCCATGAAATCACCAGAGTGACTGCAGGCATGTACAGCACTGCTCAGAGAGAGAGAGAGACAGAGACAGAGACAGAGAGAGAGAGAGAGAGAGAGAGAGAGAGAGAGAGAGAGAGAGAGGGTGGTGGTTCATCTCAACAAGAGGATTGGTTTCAGTAGTTAGTTTTTGTGTGTTTTATGGCAGATTTAAGAATTAAAAGCACTAACTTTTTTAAGTTCCCCAAATACAGGTCAAGAAGTGCATGTTCCCGTTGTAATTCCTTATTAAAAGTATGTCAATGTCAATTAGTTGTCAAATGACAACTAATTGTCAAGTAAGCGCCATAATCTAAATGAGCCTAGTTGTTTTGTGAAGGGCTGGGTTTCTAACCTAAATACTTACTGAGTACTGACCAAATGTTTATTTATCCACCATGGGACGTATTTTCATCTCCACGGTTCTTTAGATGCAGTGGAAACGCAAATAGGAATGTGCAAAAGGGATTTTTTTAGTTCCTGAGATTAGTTCCTCTGGTTGTTAGTTCCTGAAACATTCTGGCCAAAAGGGTGCTTGACAGTCTGTGACAATGCTAATATGCAGATGGTAGGTACTGTACAATATTTACCCTATTTGTTTAGGATGCCAGCATATGCTAATTATGTACAAAACAATTTAGGGGTGAGGCAGATGGGAATGCCCTTACTGTTACCAAATTAAAGGCAGTGTTTCCCACATATAGACTTTACTTGCAAAGTATTTTGCTGGGAAACCCCAGAGAGAGGTGTTATCTGGTAGCCTATTACGTTACAAGATGAGGATAAGGTGGATATTTTACAAGCAAGCATAGAAAAGGTAAAGCAGCAATCAATGGCGAACACTAAGGGTGCTCCGATAGATCGGTCACTGATCATAATCAAAAACGGAGACCTTTTGCTACATTTCCGCCTCCCGTCCAGATTAAAACGGTGAATCAGAAGATGTTTGTTTGAAAACGCTGCTGACCCGATGGACAAAACAGAGGACTTTATAAAACGATAACACACTCACATTTGGCTTTGTGAGTCAGTCTTATTAGTCATGCAAAGCAAAAACACGCTACTTACAAAGTTTTAGTTTTGGTATTTTTATTAAAATATAAGTACTGTGTAAATAACACTTAACAGTTAGCCTACTGTGAATGTCGCTGGATTTACTTTGCGACAACTCCCAGTCTGTTTTCCGCCGCCGTCTCTCGTACTCCTGTGTTACTTTCAATAACAGTTCCACTTCGTTGTCGGTCAAAAAAAAAAAAAATAAGAAACAAGTCTGGTGTGGTTCTTGGTCTGTATTAATTTCTTCTTTCGCTAAATCGTCTGCTTCATGTTTACACTGGCACGCGCATTCCCAGTGTAGCTACCTGAACGGCCACTAGATGTGTGTTTTCAGTCCAAATACAGACAGAGATCAACTCTGATATGCAGCTGAAACGCTGCTGTGGACGGAGAAGATGGTTTTCGTTATAAAACTGTTTTAAAAACGTAGCAGTGTGGATGTAGCCTCACATTACCCCACTCCTCTCTCTACTCCTCTCATGTCAACCCTCCCGTTTCCCCCGAGATTCTCCCGTATTTTTCTGTTCTCACCCGGTATCCATCTGTTAAATGTTTCACTGTAAATCTCCCGTATTTTTAACCTTTATGAAATCAAATAAAAACCTTCTGGCCGTATTTAAAGTGTTTGCTACTCTCTCCCTCTGGTAAAGTCGGTGGCAGCATGTAAGATATGTAGACTGTGCTTCCTGCACAAGGATAAAAAATGAAAACAATCCACTGAAATGATATAGGGCCTATAGCCTACTAATGGCAAACCATATGAAATTAGAATTAATATAGTAGCCTATG